AGAAACAATGACACCTGGAGTAATGTGAGAATACAGGGCGGAACACGTCTCAAACAAGATGAAAAGAAAAACGTGTTATTTATTTGTTTATGGTTGCATTGCAACATGCCATATTCATATGCATAATGAATGTTTCTAGATTATTGGTTCTCAATTTGTTATGACTCCAAGACCTATCATATTGTTCCGATACTATTATAGGGATTCCAGAAGTTTTAGGAACTCTCACTCTTTAACCAACAAATTTACATGACTTTTACATTCATTCATGATTTACCAAATAAAGATTAAGAATTTTTTTCCCCTCACATATTCTAAAAATACATTTAATAAAATATTTTGGTACATTGGATATAGGCATAACTAGAAAATGTATTTAAAGGGGTCATAAGATGCGATTTCAATTTTTCCTTTCTCTTTGGAGTGTTACAAGCTCTTGGTGCATAAAGAAGATCTGTAAAGTTGCAAAGACTAAAGTCACAAATCTAAAGAGATATTCTATATAAAATTTAAGAGTCAGCCACGCCTAAAACGGCTCATTCTAACACGCCCCCACAAATCTACATCACTATGTGGGAAGATTTGCATAACGCCGCCCAAATGTTCACGCAAAGAAAGAAGGCATAACTTTTATTCTGGCTGTAGTATTGTTGCTGCTGCCATGTCGTGGAGACGCTGTGTGATTCATTGTGAAAGCGAAACTACTTTGTTTGGCCTTCCAAAAGAGGCCGATATCCGCTTCGTCATGCCTAGAGCTGATCCGTGCTGGTTGCTGAGGAAATACATCAACTTCGTGCTGTGAATCGCTTTCACCGTGGCTTTCACCGTGGACGAAGCGGAGTCCAGCCCGGGGTCGTCACATGTGGTTGTGCAAGCCCTCCGGACGCTCACTCAGCCCGCCGGCCGTTCCTCACTTTATCCCCCGGCCTCTGCTCACTCAAGACTGCCGTGTGTGACGCTATGTTTCGTTGTGAAAGCGAAACTACTTTGTTTGGCCTTCCAAAAGAGGCCGATATCCGCTTCGTCATGCCTAGAGCTGATCCGTGCTGGTTGCTGAGGAAATACATCAACTTCGTGCTGTGAATCGCTTTCACCGTGGCTTTCACCGTGGACGAAGCGGAGTCCAGCCCGGGGTCGTCACATGTGGTTGTGCAAGCCCTCCGGACGCTCACTCAGCCCGCCGGCCGTTCCTCACTTTATCCCCCGGCCTCTGCTCACTCAAGACTGCCGTGTGTGACGCTATGTTTCGTTGTGAAAGCGAAACTACTTTGTTTGGCCTTCCAAAAATGGACACGACTAGAAATCAGTGGTTAAGTTGTATTTACAACACTGTTCCAGAACAGTCCAACCCAAATATTCAGATGTGTGCAGCGCATTTTATGGAGGACTGTTTACTGATCCTAGTAGAGTAGACTACAATGACGACTGTTCTGACTCAAAGACGCAAGTAAGTTTTTTATATTTTATATATTTAAAGTGATTTTTTGGGGCAGTGTAGAGTAGGGCTTGTTGTTTGTCATTTCTCCGATCACAAATGCAGACATGGTTTTATGTTTACGCGGCGCGATGCAACGCAATGCGTAAAAAGACAGTACAAGTCATTATAATCCATAATTATGTCCCCACTGGATGCAACGAATGCCTCGTTTATAATGGGTTTTCATGTTTTTGAATCATCGCTCCAGCCTGACAGGGCATCATCACAATGTGATAAGGGGGCGTAACATTTCCGTCACGCGCTTGAGGTATTCGGCCAATCACATCGCACTGGATAGCTGGCCAATCACAGCACACCTCGCATTTTCAGACCGATGAGCTTTGTAAAAATCGTTTCAGATAGGCGGGGCATAGAGGAGAAACAATAATGTACAGTATGTGGAAAATAATGTGTTTTCTGAACCTTAAACCGCATAAACACATTTCATTACACCAAATACACAAAATAATGTTCTTTTTAGCAGCATCATATGACCCCTTTAATTATAAAATAGGTACAAATGGATTTTTAAGATTTTTATTAATTTAGGTCAAGAAATCACATTTTTAAAAATGAGACTACCTATTTTCAGGATTTCCAAGACAATGGGGACCTGGATTAAAATAAGAAAAATCTAGATTTTTAGTAGTTTAAAGGTGCAATAGGTGATTGTCAAAAAATTTTTTTTTTTGTTATGCTGGTTGAAAGACTCTTCACATCCCGATAGCAATCATTAAGTTAAGTGGCCTAAATGTATTTGTCTGTATTTATATATTCTGTGGAAGGTGTAGGATCAAGAAATGTTCGTCCAATCAAAACGCTTGGTCCGAGCATTTTAATTAGCTTTCCTACCTGCCTGTCAACGTATGTATCTGCATACCTCTGCGCACCCGGTTCACGCAGACTGGATACGTCATCAGCGCGTTCACGCATGCTGTGCAGACAGAGCGAGAATGGCAGACAAACATCAACAACCCGATCTTCCTTCCTGTTAATGTTGTACTTTTAAAGTTTTCTCACCGGTGAATGACACATGATGTAGCCCAGCGGTTAATCCAGTCCTCGCGTGCCAGCTCGTTAGAAGTGAGCTATGTGAATGAACTGTGTTCCGATCGATATGATCCCTGTTCATTGCTCCCTACTCCATGAGCCGGGGAAATCTGTTGAAGTTTACTTCACTTCGGAACATGGGCTGGAATTGGGAACCGTTGATGTAGCCTATTGTAGTAATGTTGTCTCTGGTATTCTGGTCTGTGAGCGTAAATGCGTTTAGGGGGCGTGGCTTTGGACGGCGATTGCAGGGAGGGTGGGACGTTCACTTTCAGTGCTATCAGGCTAAAGTTAGCATTTCCCAAGATCTCCTACTGCACCTTTAATGCTTATTAAGTTATCCTACGGGCCCCTTTGAAGTTTGCTAGTGTCACCTCTGTGTGAAAATATGAAACATTGTGGGACAGCTTTAATGTTTAGTTACAGCTCAAGTGAGGAGAAAATGTGTTGCATATTGCACAGATTTTAATATCTCAAAGAGGACAGCCCATATTGTGCATCATTTTGTTTCAGGTTCTGGGCTGGCCCTACTTGGAATTCTATTTCTACAATGTACAGGTTAACTATGTGACAACATTTTGAAATCAAAGTTTCAAAAACATCAACATGACTGTCCAATAATAAGAGGACTGAAGTTCCAATAACAGAACTGAAAAAGCCCAGTCAACAGGTGTAGCGTAGCGTGCAGAGAACAGTTTCACTGGACAGAATGTCTCAGAAACAGTCATGCCTGACTAAAGATTTTCCGTGTTACTATGCATCACTTTCTGTTTACTATCACTCTGTTGCATCAGATACAGAGCAGCACACACACATACACACACACACACCACTATCACCTACTTAAAATATAAAGGCAAAAGTGTGAACAGGCATAAAAAATGCACATGATAACTAAATACAGAAAAAAGAGGGAACAGATGGTAAACTCTTTAAGTGAGATCATTGGAGAACTATTCCAGGTTAAATACAACTTAAGAATGTGATAGTACATAGCTAGTTCAGCAGTCATCTTGACCTGTCATCTTCTATTTATTGGTTTTTCTTGAAACCTACCTGGAAAAGGCCAGCTCCCCCTTTCCTCTGTCTATTCTTAGATCCAGGCCTGAACAGTCATGAGGTTGGGGTAATGTTTAGAAATGTGTTCTTCTAAATACAGGAAGAGCAGTGCAGGGAGACAACGGGAAGTAAAGGGACTATAATGCAGAGTGTTCCGTTTCAGACAGTATGGGGCCTTAAATGTACACACTGACACCACTCTGACCCAAAAAAGCAAAGCTACACCCTTATGGTCCTCACTTTGACCTCTAAAAATCACTACCACAATAAAAGACCCTCTTATAGAAAGGTGAATTGAAAACTAAAATGTTTCCTCATGCATTCGATGTGGATATAGTGTGTGAAGTCCCAGGATTGGAGCCCCACCAAACACATACACCAATCCCCTGAGCTGGATCAAAGCAGGACACAAGCTTTTCGGAGCATCACTAGCACCCTGCTAATTAATGATCAAACCCTATTTGTACCTCACCCACCGAGAGCAGAACTGGCTCCCCTGGGAGAAGCCAGAACACATGCTGTTCAGAGAGCCGTCGACGCGTGTATAGTACAACAGCTTAAAGGTATAAATCATTCAAAAGAAAATTTATTGTCTCTATATACTTAATTATGCTTTATTTGAAACCTGCATGGCCTTTTCACCCAAAAGGAGCTATTGAACAGAATGTGAAAGGTGCTCTTTAGCATGCAATATACGTAGTTTGTAACTGAGGCTGTCGAAAATACTACAAATCAGTGGTTCTCAATCTTTTTGACTAAATATTTCGAAGGCCCCCTATATGATACAATATTAACAGAATTATATAATTATATTTATTACCTAGGGAGTGTCAAATCATTTTTTTTTACTTATTGAGGAAAAAAGAAATCTGATTTCAGTCTTTGTATTTTTTTTATTATGATAGACTGTTTTAATAAATTAATAATAATGTATCTAATTCATGTTAATTATAATTAATTATTAATCATCAATAATAGCAATTATCAGAATTTTGATGACAGACATTTTTGGATGACCTATTATTTCTGACAAAATCATTATTTTTGCAAGCAACAAACATTTAATTTTATATTATGATAATTGTTTTGCAACTGACTGAATTCTCAGGATGATCTTAAAAGTGTAAAATTTCATAAAAGTATTAGCTCAAACAGCACAGCATGGTGCTAACAACACTAAAGCCATGGATTCAAATCCCAGGGAATGCATGAACTGATGAAATGTACACCTTAAATGCAGTGTAAGTTGCTTTGGATAAATGCATCTGCCAAAAGAGAGATGAGCACAAATACATCAAAAATATCTTGATGCAAATGACAAAGACTTGCTCAACGAATGTATCAAAATATTAATATGAAAGTGAGACATGATCTGTGTTTGTGGGCAGTGAACATTTGTGTGGGAGTGACTCACCTTTCCCAGGTGGGAAAAAGCAATCCATGTCGACACTACTGCGAGAGTGAGACACGGACAGGGTACTGCTGGGAACCAGACCCTCCTGAGGGGGCGAGTGTTCGGTGGTCCGCACCAGACACCAGCCGGGCCGCTCTCCAGACCTCTCCAACAGCTCGACGGTCTGACCCGACTGAATGCTCAACTCACCCACTGATCCCGCAACAAAGTCCTGCAGAACCACAGTCTGCTCACAGCCACCCGACAGCTACAGAGAGAAAGAGAAACTGGTTTTAGCTTTCATTTTAAGGTTTCTAATGAAGCCTTTACTGTTATCTAGGAAGAAAGGATGCATTAGATTTGTGTTTATATCTGTGTTGAGAACAGTTTTGTGAAAGTATAGAAAAAAATTGTTTTTCAGAATAGAAAAAATAAAATAAAAACATTTCTAAAATATTAGTAACATCATAAAAAAATCTTATTGAACCCAAACTTTTGAATGGTAGTGTATATATCTTTATTAATTTGGACAAACACTACTGGCCAAAAGTTTGTAATAATTAAATTTTTTTATGTTGATTAAAGATGTCTCTTATACTCACCAAGGCTGCATTCATACAGTAAAAAAAGTAATATTGTGAAATATTATTACTATTTTAAAGGACTGTTTCCTATTTTAATATATTTTAAAGGGGTGGTTCAGTGTTTTTTTTGTAGGCTTGATTGTGTTTGTGTTTAACACCCTGAGCATTTCCTTCTTTTATGAAACCCTCCCTCAGAAATAGCCGATGGGCTCTGATTGGTTAGCTAGCCCAGTGTGTTGTGATTGGCTAAACCTCCTCTAGTGCACGTCTAACCGTCCCACCCCTCACCTCAGCGGCATGTGCTCCGGTTGTATTGTAAACAACGCGTCGCTAATATCGCTTATCAGTTTGAGCCCGATTGAGAAGCAGAGGATATTATTGAAGAGGATCGTGCAGAACCTGTGCAAGCACAGCTTTTAATGGTAGGCCTATGTTTTTTGTTTGTTGTTGTCTCATACTTTTAGATACGCTGTTATTTGTAAATGCTACTGCTTATGTTAGCTTTTAATATACGTTTTTATCCTGATTAAAGCTTTAATACAGTAAGGCAATTGCACGCACGTCCATGTTTAACGCTTCTCATATGTGAAAATAAGTGTATAATTGGAACAGTTCATTATTGGAGCTGAGCTGAATGAGAGAGAGAGAGAGAGCGAGAGAGAGAGAGAGATGCAGAGCGTATGCAGAGCAGGGGATGCGAGGAACAGTATTAAGAACCGCTGCTTTAGAACATTGATTTTGAAACTTGTGAATCCATTAGAATCGTTAGAAGACAGAATCGCATTTCATATATGAATAGATTTTGACGAGCACCTCTAGTTTTCTCTTCCTCTTCTCTAAAGCAGCGCAGCATGGCCTCGCCCCCTTTGCTGCCTTTTCCCGAGGGTGGGGTTTATCTGGGTTTGTTATGTCACGGACCCGGGAAGTAACTTGTTGTAGTCCCTACCAGCCGTTTTTGTAGGCATTAAACTGCCAGAATTTTAAAAGATGATATCTCCGTTTGCATTGAACTTTCAGCTTCGCAACTTTGCAGATATTGTTTATGCTCAGACAGCAACATTACACACTAACTAACGTTAAAAAAAGTGAAATCGCAATGAACCACCCCTTTAAAATGTAATTTTTTCCTGTGATGCAAAGCTGAATTTTCAGCATCATTACTCCAGTCTTCAGTGTCACATGATCCTTCTTATATGCTGATTACTATCAATGCTAAAAACTGTTTTTGATGCTTAATATTCTTTTGGAAACTTCAATACACTACCAAACAAAAGTTTGAGCTAGAAAAACATATATAGTCTTTTATTCAGCATTGGCACAATAAATTGATCAAAAGTGTCAGTAAAGACATGTATAATCATACAAAAGATTTCTATTTCAAATGCTATTCTTCGCAACCTAAAAGTTTTTTCATGATGCAGTCAAATGCTGGTGGATATAAAGTACCACACTATATTATTTCCCACAAAATATTCTGTTCAACCCGGAAATGCCTCACAGTGCATTGTGAATGCATAATTTAAGTTTTATGATTTGGATGAAGATCAAACCACATTTGTGCTAAAAATTTAATGCAGAAAAAGTTTTCTAGAACTGTACAAAACTGTCCCAAATGAAAGGAAAAACAGGGCAGGCTGAGAGAAATAAAGGATGGTCAGGCTGCAGAGAGAAACTAGCTCACTGAACAAATACACACATCACCACCAGAGACAAACTCACCCTACAGTGACAGAAAATCAATTCAACACCTCACACACACATTTACAGACACACAGAAGCATGTTCTAATCTTCATCAAACACACCCACTGAAACAGAAACTGAGCTAAAGACTATAAGAAACAGGATGAGCAAGTGAGGAAAAAGCAGGTCTGAACAGCTGTTCTCCTATGGAGGTCTCTCCATCTCTGACCTCCTTCCTGAATACATCAAACCTTCAGACTCTGCTGTTGAGTGTCTGCACCGGTTCTGTTCTGACTCAGCGGCCCACCCTAGACAGCGCTGCTCCCTGAATGTAGTTATGTCTGAACTCCCCATGTTCTGAGGGTCAAAACACACATTCAGCTGGAAAATAAAACAAAACTCGCCTTCTTCCCATATTAAACACTGAAGCTGCATTCATAAACACAGTAAAATTTTTAAGAAGTACCAAAACACTTCTGGGAGATAATGCAATGACAACACCATGGCCATTTGGACATTTACTGTAGTAGTACCACTGTACTCTCCAGACATCCTCAGAGTTCCATGTTAATACTTTAGTATATAAAGACTGTGATCATTCAGTAATGTGAAATATCAGCCCCAAATCAGCAGATTAGAATGATTTCTGAAGGATCATGTAACGCTGAAGACTGGAGTAATGATGCTGAAAATGTAGTTTTGCCATCACAGAAATCAATTACATTTTAAAATATATTAAAATAGTAATTAAATTGTAAACTGTAGTAATATTTTAAAATAAAATTTTTTTACTGTATTTTTCATCAAATAATGCAGCCTGCCACAATGCTATATTGTCTACTCCCCACAAAGAATATATGTAATAAATTACAATTATATAATCATCTAGAGATGAAAGCTATTTAAAAGTTTAAAAAATATATAATTAACTTAATTGCAACTAAGAAATCTATTTTTTTGCTAAAAAATGAAGACATTTTATTACATGGCAGATGAGTACATTATTTAATAACCGTAAAATGTGGCTTTAGAACCCAATATTTTGAACAATTTGTAAAAAATATTTAAATAAATTGCCATGCTAAACTGACAGACCTATTTACTGCACATACAAAAACACCCAAATAGTTGGATTAGGGTTAGCTCATCTTAATTTAAAAACTACTGAATCATATGGGAGGTGCCCATCATTATATAAAAACAAATGTCTATGTGCTTTCTTTACTGTCTACATGTGTGTATGTTTATGTATGTACGCAAATGTTTCTTGGAAGATTTCACTTTTGTGTGTTAATTGTCTTTGCAGCATTTGTGAGAGTTTGTGTATGTGTTTGTAATTATGTGTGTAATTAATTCTTTTCTCAAAGCTACAATGGAAATACAAAAGGCTATAATTCTAGGTTTACAACTCTAGAGTCCCTGGAGAGCGAAGGCAGAGAAGGAGGAGTGTGTGATTGGGTGGAGGAGAGTGATACGCCCTCCTCGAGGGAACGCGGGGTGTTTTCCCTCCCTGATTCTTTACAGCTGGACAGGAATTCCCGCCATATGAAACAGACCATTCCATACTGACAGAACTCCGAGCCATGAGGAAAGCATGATCACCAACAGAGAATGAGACAGGATTGCATATGTGCCATATGAGAACATTTAGCTGATGCTTTTCCTTTCTTCACAACAGACGTCATGCAGACTGGAGTCAAGATGTACTGGTAACTTATAAATATACATGTGCAGTTCAAGTAAAATTAATAACATGTAGTAGAAGACATACATATATGCTGTATTTCGCACCAGTCCCTAATAATAATAATAATACTAATAGGTAACAATTTAATATCTTAACTTGACTATCATAAAATAATTTACAATCATGAATACATTATATAATTAGTAAATCAGTAGTTAATATAGTAGTTAATATCCATTCAAATATTTAGAAATGTTAATTTATATATTTATATTATTATTATTATTATTATATACAGATATATATATATATATATATATATATATATATATATATATAATATATTATATTTTTTATAATTTATATAATATTATATTTGTATAGTATATATATTTAAATATGTTTTAAAATACATTCAATATATTTAAAATAATTAATACATTTAAATAATTTAAATATTTTCTTCCTAATATTGTTTGACTTTGAAAACAGTGTGTGTATATATATATATATATATATACACACACATTATATATATAAATCTGACTAACTAAACACACAAACACATGGAGTAGAATATGAACAGCCACTCCCTTCCGAGCAACCCAAAAGCACAGTCCAAATGTGAGCTCATGCTTATGGGGACAGAAAACACTCACACACACAAGTACACTCCTACATTTAAAGTGCAAATGTCAACAGAGACACTTGAAATCATTTGAGAATTACTATGGGGAAAACACAGAGTACTTGTTAAATCAGAGGGTGATGGTACTGGTTGGGCTGATTAAATAGCCACTACTGTCTAAAAAGCATTATTAAAACACTTTTTAATATTATAGCAGTGTAACTGATGAGCTATTTGTATATACATTTTCAAAAGAGGCAATTCAAATGGGTGTTGTACTAACACTCTGTACTGGTAACACACATATGAGAGGCAATGTACGAACACGTTGCTTAAACGTAAATAACCATGCTTTATTCCAAACAATATTGAAATAGACAACACAGCCACACTCTCCCTTAAAAACTACCACTAATCCATAACTCATTTACAAAAAAGCACAAGCCAATCCAATCATATCCAAAACTCCATCAGAAGCATTTGTACTCACAGGTCTGGTTCTCTTGGGTAGTCTGAAACTCCTCCACCTGGGCATGATTCTATCTGTACCACCAATCCAACCAACCAGAAGTCAGTCTGCCAACCAGATCCGCCTTCTGATTGGCTGACAGTCAGGTAGGTCTAACCAAAGTGCTCACTCCCAGAGTCTCACACAGAGCTAGTGACTAAACTCATGCTCATCATGTTCTTTAGAGAGTGTGGAGAATAATTATTGCGCTGTCAAATAGATCTTCACAGCTGAGGAGTGTTGAGAGGGTTCTGCTCATATGGGAGAGAGAGGGAGAGACTGAGAGAAAGAGGAGGAAAACAAGCACAGACTCCAACAGAACTAAGAAAAGTGAGAGAGGAGGAAAAATGAAATGAACAGACGCAACACCCCAAACTGGGCAAGGAAAGAATGAGGTGTGTGTGTGTGTGTATGCACATGTGCTTGTGAGATAAAGACAGAGAGCATATGGAAGACACACACAGTCACAGGGTCATAGATTTCATATATTTTTGAAAACAAGAAACATTACTCACTATAACTGAAGTGTCAACTCTAAATCAGAATATATCTAAACAGACCCACACACACACACACAGACATACAAATCCATCTGCAGACATCTACAGTTTTTATATAAAAAATAATTCTATTTTATAAAGACTAAACCTTAAAGGGGTGGTTCACTGTTTTTTTTCTAGGCTTGATTGTGTTTATGGGGTGCAGTCTAATATCACATAATTTACCTTTATTCCACACCGCTCTGTCCCTTCTTTGAGAAACACCCTGATAATTTCCTTCTTTTATGAAACCCTCCCTCAGAAATAGGCGATGGGCTCTGATTGGTTAGCTAGCCCAGTGTGTTGTGATTGGCTAAACCTCCTCTAGTGCGCGTCTAAATGTCCCGACCCTCACCTCAGCGGCATGTGCTCTGGTTGTATTGTAAACAACGCGTCGTTAATATCGCTTATCAGTTTGAGCCCGATTGAGAAGCAGAGGATATTACTGAAGTGGATCGTGCAGAACCTGTGCAAGCACAGCTTTTAATGGTAGGCCTATGTTTTTTGTTTGTTGTTGTCTCATACTTTTAGATACGCTGTTATTTGTAAATGCTACTGCTTATGTTAGCTTTTAATATGCGGTTTTATCCTGATTCAAGCTTTAATACAGTACGGCAATTGCACGCGCGTCCATGTATAACGCTTCTCACAGCCATGTGAAAATAAGCGTATAATTGGAAAAGTTCATTATTGGAGCTGAGCTGAATGAGAGAGAGAGAGAGAGAGTTTTTACGTGCACCTCTAGTTTTGAATGAATGAATGAATGAATGAATGGAGTGAATTAATGAATTTATCTGGGTTTGCGATGTCACGAACCCGGGAAGTAACTTGTTGTAGTCCCTACCAGACGTTTTTGTAGGCATTAAACTGCCAGAATTTTAAAAGACCATATCTCCGTTTGCATAGAACTTTCAGCTTCATAACTTTGCAGATATTGTTTATGCTCAAACAGCAACATTAAACACGAACTAACAATAAAAAAGTGAAATCGCAATGAACCACCCCTTTAAGGCTACTCCAAAATAATTTATTTATTTATTTGCATTTTTGGAATAAAAACATATAAACAAACATTATTTGGTTTGCTTTTGAATTATTATACATATTATATTATTATTTGAGGATGACGTTAAAATGGAGGCTTTGTCAAATTTAGCCAACTTCTGGGACAAATGCTGACAGCAGTGAGCAAACCGCACTACGCAGAGACACAAACAAGTTAAGAAATGTCTAGTCTGTAAAAATAGGGAATATGAGAAGCCTATATATAGTTTTATATTTGAATACCCACTGACACAGCCATACATACACACAAACTCACAAACCTCAAACCACAATGACATAAGAAGGCCCTAGCAGTACAATAACTCCAAAGAGACAGACCGCTAACAGAAAAAAGAGAGAGAGAAAAAAAGACATGAAAATTATATGTGTGTAATTATGTGACTAATAATAGCTTGATTTGCATTAGTTGCTTTGTTTGGTGATTTAGGCTAAATAAACTGTAAATGTAAAATTCTTTTGACTAGCATAAAGTCTGGTTCACAATGAAGCTAATTCTGGCAAAAAATGGCTCACTTAAACAGAAAAGTGGCCAATCACAGCTTCTCATTTCTTATTATAATTGCTGATGTCTAAGTAAGGTGCACATGCAGGACTGCTCAAAAATGTCATGTTTATACAAACTTTTGATTATCTTTTAAAAGGTTGATGCCATTCATGTTACTATAAATCTATTGCAAATAAACCCATCCCTAAGTAGCCAATCAGATTTGGAGCTAGCAGTTTCCACCAACACTTGCCATTTTGTGTGTAACATTCAGTGTCAGACAGTCAGTGAAAGGTCTGTAGGTGTGCCATCTGCGACGGAGACAAGTCCGTGTCCTGACTTAAACCACATGAACACCGCAAAACAACTGATCTGGCAAGAGAGTGTGTTAGAAAAAGTGTTTCTAGGAAACATGCGCTGCTCTTGACTGCACTTTTTAGTCTGTAATTAGACGGTTGAATGAAACAAGAGCAGAGAGACTGGCCTGAGGTTAAGAGCAGGCGCAAGTAATAATAAAATTACAAAAAAATGACAGACGGAGAGATTAGGAGCAATAATACTGTTTTTGCCGCATTGACATACTGGATGGGAATAACAGTGAATCAGATTTAGTTAGTGGGACAGGGAGGAAAGTTATATAGCAAAAACAAGGCAACAAGAAAGTTGGTGAAACATGCATATTATTTCTATTTCAAATAGAAAATGCAGTACTTTTGAACTTTCTATTCAACAAATAATTCTGAAAATATTTATCATGGTTTCCACAAAATATTAAACAGCACATCTGTTTTCAACACTGATAATAAATAATGTTTCTTCACCAAATCAGCATATTAGAATGATTTCTGAAGGATCATGTGACACTGAAGACTGGAGTAATGATGCTAAATATTCAGCTTTGTCATCACAGGAATAGATTGCATATTATTATTATTATTATTATTTAAATAGACATATTTTTGATCATATAAATGCAGCCTTGGTGAGCATAAAAGTCTTCTTTCAAAAAAAACCAAATACATAAAAACATACCATGATACCCATGTACAAACTCTAGAGTCAAATACACACACACACACACACACACACACGCACGCACGCATGCACGCACGCACACACACACACACACACACATACCGTCTGTAATCTGGTGGTGTCTAAACAGACGTATGTGTGTATGAGACAATCAAATTTTCCATAGTGGGAGTATCTCCCATTTGACAGAAATGTTTGAGGAGTAATTTAAAAAATCCTCACAAAGTCAAACCTGCTTACACAAAGACAAACAAGCAATCAACCAACACATAAAACAAACCAACAAAAGCATGTTGTACAGTTACATTAATATCAGCTCTCTTCTTGAGCTTAATTTTGATACCAATGCACTTAACCTTAAGCTTCTGGAGTTTCTCTATGTTTAAAGTCTTGTACAAATCTTCACAGTCAAACCTGCATGTCTAGCCACTCAATTGTCACTACACGATGCTGACCAAGCCAAATGGCAATAGAGTGTCAGGGACTACATAGTGGATGTCATGGTGTTATTGTTGTGATTTTTGTAGTGTAGTTGTACCTTGTCACTGTCTACAGTGTTCTGGGAGGTGCGTGAAGCGATGGAGATTGTGTCCGGCTGACTGCTGGCATCACCCTGACTGTCCGCGTCCTCTGTAGTTTCCCTGAAAGATTAAATAAATATTATAAACTTAATTTCCACTGCATTACACATAGACAATCTATAATAAAAACCCTAGCAGCAAGTGCTGTGATAAGAGCTGTGCACTTTGTGAGTACTGATGTATGGATTCTCTCAATGCAGATTTGAGAAGAAACTGAGCAGAGAGAAAAAAAGAAAAATCTATGTTTTAGGTGGATGAGGTGAAATACCTCTTGCTTATGCTACGCTGTCTGGCTGGGGTTTTGGGAGGGTGTATGGGCTCCTTTAGCGCCCCCTTCAGGTGGATTGTTCTCTCCTGAATCACTTCCCTGATGTTCCGGATCCACTCCTGTTTCACTTCTATACTGGAGGCCTTTGGGTGGATGAGAGGATGTGTATAAATGAAAAAAGATGACAAAGCATGATTTCACAAGCCAGATTTTAACTTGCATTACTCAAATGAGTATAATGGCACAAAGCATATGCACCAGGGTCAGAAATTAACCAAGGCCAAAATTACCACTAAATATGAGAAACATGGCCCAAATATTTAAAATGTGGGGGCAAAAAAATTGAATTGCAGAGAATCTTTTGGGTTTTAATATGTAATTTCTAGAACATTTGATATATTCCAAACTGGGCTGCAATTGTCATTAATTTGAACTGTTATAATTTTATTTCAGAACTGAAAACAAAATAATAGGCCTCTGTACAAATCATGAAGAACAAAATTAATCAGTTATTTTTATATTATTATTTTATGAAATGTGGTAGCAGTGTTAAAAAATAAATGGTTTAACCCTAACGTATGAAATAATAGTAAATACTGAAATAGAACAGTTTATTGAAACTTTAGATAAAATCAAAAAAAAAATTGCATCCATGTTTTTTTGTTGAATATTGTATTTGATACATCAGGCTTATACTATATTCATAATATTGTGTTCTAGGTGTCATGTTTGGTTAGGACACAGTGTTATAGCCTACTGTATGTTAAAAAAATGTACCATTATACCTCATGAAGGTAAAAAATATTAAAGGGGTCCAATTATGCTTTTTCACTTTTTCAACTTTAGTTAGTCTGTAATGTTGCTGTTTGAGCATAAAAAAGATCTACAAAGTTACAAAGCTCTTCTTCAAAAGGAGATTTTATTTAACAGAAATCACTTTTCAAAAACTACAAATGAGTCGTTTGGACTACAACACATATTTTCCGGGATTTGTGATATCATAAACTTCGTAAAAGAGCATAATAGGACCCCTTTAATGTCTAACTAGCACTAGCTATGATTCTGCTCTGCCATATCTGTGGGTTTATCTGACACTGATACACATAGACATACACATATACACATCTTACCTTGAGAACTGTTTTGTTGTCAGATGTAGGCGTCCGGCCGGCCCACAGAGCAAACTTACACGGATCACCTTCAATGTGTTCGGTGACTCCTAACTCTGATGCCTGTCAAAACACATTTGAATTCACACTACCACTAACGACTTACTAATAAAGTGGGAAAAAGGCACTAAAGACCTCATTTTGCCGATGATGTTTACACTTCTTGACAACTTATCGTCCTGGAGCTCCTTACCAGCAGCTTGTTCTTGTAAACATATTTGGTGCGTCCTGACGAGTCTTTCATCTCTTTACTGAAAACGAGGGAGATCTCAAAAAGGAAGAGATGTCGGTCCCGGCCCTTGCGGATCAGAGATTTGGGGTCCCACACCTGGAAGGTGTCCTGTAGGATTAGCTCACCCTGTACAGCCAGGTTCTCATCAAAGCCTGATACCAGAACCACAATTACACAGACAAACAAATGCATAAATGCAAAAATACCAACAGCACATCATTGACCTGAAATTACGATTCTAGCTTCATTAAACAAACAAACAAAAAAATATATAAACATATTTAATAATCAATAAAATGTCGTAATATTTTAATAATAATTATACAGTTCATATTATTTAATTTAATAATAAATAAAACTAAATAAAAACAAACAAAAAATGTATTTCATTTTCAAATTGTATTTTAATATCTGAAAAATGCATTCTCTTTGTACAGTATATAGGCTTAAAAAACATTAAACTTCCAATTTGTTTTAAAAATCTGTAATTTTGTGTTGAATAATTGTGGATTATGTGAAAAACAACAACAACAACAACAAATAAACCATCTGTGAACAAATAAACAGAATCTGTTTTCAAGCTATTTGCGATGCAATTCCAGATGGGATCTCCGCACCGCTTGTCATTTCCCAGAGAAAAGTCTGTGCATAAATGCACAAGGGAGGTTAGTTCATCCTAAGTTCACAATTTGTTTTACTCAGACAGCATTTCAGGCAAAGTACAGTATGTAACAATGCAACCTTGGATGATTCTTGCAATCAAAAGCCATAACTGTCTGAGATCAGTAAGAAAACCTCTAAAGCTTCTCTTTGGCAGACACTCTCACCTCCAAACACTCCTGTAGGTCTCGTACATAAGCTCTTTCTGTCTGGAGCAGCTCAGCCATAATATACCTACACAGAGACCAAAATGCCCCACTGAAAGCCCAGCAAATTACAGACATTGAAATGCAAAGAACGCCTGAGATAGCACTTCATAACACAAAGCTAATTCCTCAGGAAATGATTTAGATTAAAAAGGATTTTGTGTGAAGACGAAGCTATTGATGCCGTGATTTAGTTTGGGACTATCTGCTTAACCTGCGCACAGGAAGCTGGCACACAACATAAGGATTCTGAGTCATATTTGACTAAACCTCAAGTTAATTTCATCACTCACTCTTTCTTTCTGGCAGATTTCTTTTTTTCCTCATTAACTTCATGGTCAGGATCGTTGAGGTTGACCTCTGGGTCAGTGTGGGTCAAGCTGGCTGGTATAATATCCAGCTCCAGATCTTTATTGTTCTGTTAAGAGAGATCAGAGGAAATACCAGAAATTACAGTGTGTTTTTATGGTAAACTTTTGATACCTCGTGATACGAACCTCTAAAACAGTATAAATAGTAGAACAGGATTTTAAAAACTATTGATGAAAATTAAGGTTTATAAATATATAAAATAATGCATGAAATAGAATAAATGCAGGATATATATCCTGAAAAGATATAAACTGGCTTTGCTCGATCCCTCACCTCAGAACACACCCCTAGAGCTCGGTCCAAGCTGCAGCGGTACTGACCCATCCGCATGGAGAAGTCTCGATACCGCCTGTCAACCGTAGACACCCACCTCTTGAGTTCGGTCACATGGAGATGCCCTTTCTCAACCAGACTACCAGCCAGCTGGATCAACAGCTTCACCTTCTCCTGCGTTTGCTGGAAGAGAACAACCAGCATAATGTATGTATGTATGTATATTTATATATATTTATCACAACAAATCACAACAAATGGCCAAGCAAAGCGCACGACACTGACAAGGTACGCGATACAGAACGAGACCAAATGCCATTTCAGCACGTCTCCACACAGTAAACAAAACAAGTTATAAATATATATACAGTGGGTACGGAAAGTATTCAGACCCCCTTACATTGCACACACACGCACACACACACACACACACATATAATTCCTGAAGTTTTATTATATGGAAGAATGGCCAGAATATTCTTCATAAAAATTCTCCTTGTGTGTTCCACAAAAGCATGAAGGGCTGGAACAACATGACAGTGAGTATATGACGACAGTATTTTTAATAACTGCCCTTAATGACGGAGGTTTTTACCTTTGCAGATACACGGAAATTTTCGTACTCTTTTAGTAGTTCCTGAGTTTTTCCGCTGGTATCACCAGGCGATGTGTGTGTGGATAGAAAATATTCTCCCGCCTCCTGTAACCAGTCTATGGCCTGCGTACAGGGCACAATTTTTAAAAGGTAAACACCATTTCATGTGTTTACAATCTCTCCTCTTATTGGATATTTTTAGCATCTTTCCATTTTCTATACTACACAAATGACTAACGTATGGGTTAAACAAAAGGTTGCTCGGTTAAACTCCTTTAACCCTTGTGAAAAAGAAATGCACTTAATTGTATTGAATGCGCAATTTTTGTGTATTTAAAATCTTACAATTATATTTTAATGAAATAAAGGGCAACTGAAAGAGTACTGCAAGAGTACACTTTCCTGACTATGTTTTTAACATGACTATGTTTCATAAACACTTAAAAAATTTACTTTGTAAAGTCAAATTAAACGTTTTACATTAAAGTACATTTTAAATAATTTTTTTCATAATCTCTTGTTTAGAGATTATGAGGTACTTTAAAGAAGTGCATTTATTTTGTTTTGTTGACTAACATACTAATGCACATTATTATAATTGTATTACATTTTTTAAATGTTTTACTAAATTGCAACTTCCTCATTACAAATGTGTAATTACAATTATATTTTAATAAATGGCATAAAAGTTTAAGCAGAAATTACGATAATATTTTAGTTTACCATAAATGCTTTTCAGTATATTTGGCAGTACTCTCTGACCATATTTCAAAGACAATAGAAGTAATTATGAAATTACATATAAAGATGTAATTTAGTCCTACTCAAGTGGGTCAAAAAACACTCTAAGGTTCAGATATTTGCTTTTAATATAAATTTAAACTATTTATAAAATGTTTATTTAATTGCAATTAACATGCAATTAAGTGTCTGAAAACATGACATCCAGTTCACACTTAAGTATGTTCTTTTATTTCTGTAATAAATTATATTTTTAAATGTATTCTAAAGTGAAGTTCTTTTTCACAAGGGATGACAAAACCAAAACCACCATCATTATCGAATCCTTCAAAAACTGTGCTTGCATAAAGCTCTCTCACTCACCTGTTTAGCATGTCGTTCAAACAGAACGTACTGTTGGCATTGATCTAAACGTCTTTTTTTCATAGTCCAGAAATGAAGGACACGGTTTTCCCTCTGTAGAAGCTCACTCAGAATGGCTAAATATAAAACGACACAAGACAAGATCGATATACAAATACAAACATTCAGACACAATGACATACAGACAGACGGTATATTTTGCTGGTATAATGTCTTTAAGTAGACCTGAACTGACCTTTTACTTGGGACTCAGTGGATCGATTGTGGGTGGTGACCCCAGGCATGCTCACATTGTTTCGATGGATGTACTTAAGAAAGACCTCCGCGTTACGACGTGCTAAAGTACATGCCTAAAACCAGAGAAATGAAACATTTTGTAGAACCAGTGCATCTAAACAACTGCACAGTGACATCATCATTGACCATATTGATAGCAGCTGGAGTTTGATGTAAGACGGACAGTGACATTGCTAATGACACTAATAATGTTTGTTCAAGGTTTCTTTATTTCAAAAGGAAATCCTTTTAATCCATGCTATGACCCATTTAAACTGACACATATGTGGTCACATATGGCAAAATGTTTTGTTTTGCTGCAGATGCAGTTTTTAAAAAATATAAAAAGGACAAATTGGTGAGAAAGCTGAAGAGCTTCTGTTGCAGGTGTTTGAGTCTGACTGTGTGTTCGTGTACGTGTGTATGAGAGAGGTGAACCTTGAGAAAGGCTTCTTTCTGCTCCAGGTGTTTGTTGATGAGAGGGCTGACGTGGTCCGTCTCTGCCGTTGAGCCCAGTTTATCATTACCTCCGCACCAGTCCTCCTCTCTCCTGTACTCCAGTTCCAGACTCTCCAATACATTACATACCTTATACGGACATACAGTATGTTACACACACAGTAGCATCAAACCTTAACTTAAGTCTCTGTACTGTTCACAGTGGTCAGTCGTAGAGCAGATATAAATCGAAATATAAATAATAGAATACAATGTAATGACAGCAAATGGACATATATAAAATGTGTGCCATTTAATAAAAGAAAATAATAATAATTGGAATATTTATTCCTGAATTCATTGAAAAAATATTTGACAATAGAAAGCATATTTTCGGTAGATTCTGGAACTGACACTAGAGGGAGCTAACATTTCTGTTAAGGCAGTGGTTCTCAATTCTAGTCCTGGCGACCCCCTGCTCTGCAGATTTTGCATGTCTCTCTTATTTAAAGGGGTCATATGACGTTGCTAAAAAGAACATTATTTGGTGTAATGCAATGTGTTTATGCGGTTTAAGGTTAAAAAAAAACACATTATTTTCCACATAATGTATATTATTGCTGCTCCTCTATGCCCCGCCTTTCTGAAACGCGTCGATTTTTACAAAGCTCATTGTTCTGAAAAGCAAGGTGTACGCTGATTGGCCAGCTCTCCAGTGCGTTGTGATTGGCTGAATTCCTCAAGCGTGTGACGGAAATGTTACGCCCCTTACCATACTGTGATGCCGTGTCCCGGCGCGACAAGACAAAAACAATAAAACCCATTATAAACGAGACATTTGTTGCATCCAGTGGGGACATAATTACTGATTATAATGACTTATACGCTCTTTTTATGCGTTGCGTTGCGTATCGCGCTGCGTAAACATAAAACCATGTCTGCATTTGTGATCGGAGAAACGACAAACAATAAGCCATACTCTACACTGCTCAAAACTCGCGTTTGAATCATCTGTGGCAAATCCTTTACATATGAAAATGTACTTACAGACTGTGAGTCAGAAGCGCCAGACTGTCCTTGCAAAGTTGTAATTTGCCCCACTTTATAGAAACAGACATTGTAGGCTACTCTCCCAGGAAACAGTCCTCATCCTCCGCAAAATGCGTTGCACACATCTGAATATTTGGGTTGAACTGTTCCGGAACAGTGTTGTAAATACAACTTAACCACTGATTTCTAGTCGTGTCCTCTTTTGGAAGGCCAAACAAAGTAGTTTCGCTTTCACAACGAAACGCACAGCGTCTCCACAACATGGCATCACAACATCGCATCATATGACCCCTTTAACACTCCTGATTCAGATAACCAGCTTGTTAGAAGAGAGTTCCATGCATGAACTGTGTTCCGATTGACAGGCTCCATACACAGTGTTAATTGCTCCCTACACTCTTAAAAATAAAGGTGCTTCAAAAGGTTCTTCAAGCGATGCCATAGAACAGGGATCCTCAAATCTGTCCCACCAGATCCACTTTCCTGCTGAGTTTAGCTCTAACCCTAATCAAACACACCTGAGCATGCTAATCAGTGTCTTCAGGATCATTAGAAAATCACAGGTAGGTGAGTTTGATCAGGGTTGGAGCTAAACTCTGCAGCGCATTGGCCCTCCAGGGCAAGATTTGAGGAACCCTGCCATAGAAGAACCACTTTTGGTTCAACAAAGAACCATTCAGTCAAAGGTACTTTAAAGAACCATCTCTTTCTTACCTTTTTATAATCTGAAGAACCTTTTGTGAAACAGAAAGGTTCTTCAGATGTTAAAGGTTCTTTATGGAACCATTTAGACAAAAAGGTTCTTCTATGGCATCGTGAAGCACCTTTATTTTTAAGAGTGTACTCCCTGAGCACGTGAAATCCATTTAAGTTTACTTCATTTTGGAACATTCATTAATGGATTTGCGCCATGCCACTGCCTTCAGCATCTTCACACACAGACGAAACTTACTACAGAAGTGTGAAATAAGACATAATATACCTCTGTAAATAAATACAATTTAAATACATGTCTCGCACACTTTAATGCCCTTTGAATGGAACATATACGCTCCCTTCGAACCGGAATCATGGTGGAATATCCTGTGATGTCCAAATCACAGGTCACTTACGGTCAAATAGAACAAATGTCTGAAGTGATAAGAGATACATATGTGGCAAGAATGAGGTAGTGGTCCCTTTAAAGGCTGGGCAAGGGATTTTTCAAGTTCTCGCTATACTGTATAAGCTGATGTTTGATCTCACTTTTTGAAACGCATTTCACGAGTTGGAAGAACTGCCTGTATTCTCAAATGTTTCTTCTTCAAATCGGTTGCGATCATGTACAGTGGGGCAAATAAGTATTTGATACACTGCCGATTTTTCATGGCATTTAATTTCGCTCTGACAAGTGTTTCACGAGTTGGAAGAACTACCTGCATCCTCGAATGTGCCTTTAAAATCGGCTGTGATAAACAGCTTAGAGAGTAGTTAAACCGAAGACATATTAATGCTAATGTTAGCAATCCTGCATCTGTTAATCCTAATGTTGATGATGTTTTTCAATCTGCTGCACCAAGTAATGTTCCTGTTCCTGAACGTTTAGTATACATGCCCCGAGAAAGAAAATGCCCCAGGTTTTCTGGTAAGAGGTCTCACGAAGAAGTGTCAGTGGATTTAATGGATAGATGAGGTACGTAGATCTTTAGCAGTGCGACCTGTCCCTAAGACTGAGCAGGCCTTATCTGTATATGATCTATTAGTTGGTGAGGCCAAGGCGGAAGTTTCGTTTCGCCCTTCTAGTGATAGAGATGATTCTGAGAAGTTTTTTTCTGTTTTGCTTTATGTGTATGGTGGCTTTAATGGAGGTAATGTCACTTAAGAACCTTCAGGTATTTGCAATCCAGATCAGACCTTACGTGATCTGTGTATTGAACACATGCATTATAGTTAATTACGTAGGGAATTAAAATGACAAGTTCGACTGAATGCTGATATGTCTTTCCTTGATGCACGCACCGAGGCTATTCAATGGTCAGAGGAGGGGGAAACAGTTAGTGCACGGCCTTGTGTTCATTCTTGTGTTGCGAATGTTCAGGTAGTGCAGTGCTGACAATTATGCTGACGGTGTTGAGAGTCTGGCACTAGGAGGGGGTCCTTCAGGCTTAAGTGCATTATCAGATGGAACACCACCTCAATTTATAGGACAATGCCCAGTAGTACAAGTCATATTTGGAGGTGTTCGAACTTCTTATTTGCTGGACACCAGATCTATGGTGACAATGATCACTGAGAGTTTTTTTAAGCTATGTTTCCCACCCCACTTCTTGTGTGCTAGACACCAGATCTATGGTGTCATTGATCACTGATAGTTTTTTTGAGCTATGTTTCCCGTCCCACTTTAAAGAACAACTGCAACCTTGTAGCTGGTTATGTCTGAGGGCTACCAATGGTTTGGAAATCCCCTATAATGGATACCTGAAATTAGATGCTGAGGTCTTGGGCAAAGTCCTACCTAAAATGGGTATCCTGATTATGAAAGACCCAAAAGACCTTGTTACTAAGTAATAGAAGTTCTCCATCCCTGGTCTTTTTGGAATGAATATCTTGAATTGTTGCTATCAAGAACTGTTCTCACAATATGGGAAGGATTTGTTTTCGTGTTTTACAGTGCAACAAGCTGGGAAGGAGTGGAAGCAACCTTTAGTGAAGTGTCAGAGTCCAAGCCTTATTGCTGAAACTGGCCTTGTGGGCAAAGCAGTCGTACGATCAGATCCAGCTACCAGAGTTCATGCTGCATCCCTTAAATGGGTCCCTACAAACTGCTGTCAATGTTTGAATCGTGCCATTTCCTTTGTTTTCTTGGAACCTCCGAACTGGGGAGAGGGTGCACTACCTGCAAACATCCTCATTTCAATATGTCTCCTCTCAGCAGAGCAGGGTATGGTCTACATTCCTGTAATCAATTTGAGAGAGAAGGATAAGTAGCTTAGGCCAAAAACCTTTCTTGGGCATCTATATATGGTTAATTCATCATCATAGATTTTTTTTCAGCACATCAAAGAAATTTAAATGAAATGGTTCTGTAACATCTCCTAAGATCCACAACATCCCAGCATAAATGCTCCCGATAAAATATTTGTTATTTAGGCTAAGCATCAACATTCACAAACCACTGTCATTTTTTAACAGAAAAGCAAGCATGGACTGCTGCGTGCATGGTTTGGCATGGCAGAATGCGAGCAGCGCTTCCTTTATTATCACTAAAAGCTGACATCTCAGTTCACCGCAAAAAGCTCAAAAAGCTCTGTTATAACACAATGAACATATGCACAATGAATCTTTCACAATGTCTACACTTCTTGTGTTAAAATGAGACGATTTGTGAGCACGCAATTTCAGCACTGCGGTGAGTAGATTCTAACTTAATCACCTCTGGTTGGCCATTGCGTTCCAGAAATCAACAGCTATGTCTGTGATTGGCTACATTGCGCAACCCTTTAAACACGTGTTATAAATATAAACTCTGCCTAGCGTGCATGTGTTCATAATTTTAATGTTATTAGTTGTTCTTTTTGCTTTTGTGCAACACATTAATAACAATTTATATGTTTAGGACATTTTATGTTTAGATAATTTCTATTTTGTGGGAGTCCCGCGAATCATTTTATTCTCCCGCATCCCGCACACAGAGTCTCTACCCGCACTTGCCCATCAAGAGTTGTCCTGCTCCGCACCCTGTTGCGTTGGGAGTGCATGTCTCTAGTCTGTAGTTCTCCATCAGGTGGTCCCTTAACTGATTTTACCGAATTGTCCTGGCCTTTGCTGGCCAATTTAGACATTGAGGTCACCAGCAGAATCAGAGCCAAGTCAATCCATGAGCAGAGAGAATCAAGGAGAACCAGTGACTAATCAGTCCCCAGTTAGAGAAAATCCAACAGAGCAAGTTATGTACCAGTCTCGTGAAGAAAATACAGTGACTTGAAAAAATTAACAAGTGACTTGCTCCCTTGAATCTTCAGGCTCTGAACATGCAAGAACTGCGTGTAGTAACCACTCTAAACAAGAGGAGAGTATGCCAAGACGTTCAAGTAGAACAAGGTCTGGACAGCACTCCAACCCATTTAACATCCCAAGGCCAGTTTGAACCCCAAAGGGCAGACAACACAGTAGTCAAGTTACAATAAACTCACTATTTACTCCATTTAGAAAGGGGGTGGGGGTACATATGGCACCGGGACGGTGACTCGGTGACTTCGGATGGATGTGGCAAGAATGATGTAGTGGTCCCTTTAAGGGCTGGGCAAGGGATGTTTCAAGTTCTCGTGTTCTCGTGAAAGCTATTGTTTGATCCCACTCTTTGAAATGCGTTTCACTCAAATGCTTCTTCTTCAAATCGGTTGTGATCACGTTTAAGCTGGCGTTTGATTTCGCTCTGACAAGTGTTTCACGAGTTGGAAGAACTACCTGCATTCTTACATATCACCATGACTCAGGTAATTATTGCTTTTCGGTAGGAGTGATTGGCTGCGTGTATTGCCGACCAGTATTTTTGTAACTGGTATTATACAGGAGTCTTTCAGAACTAATAGTAAATTGTTGGTTACAGCTGCCATATTGTTCCATTTCTGTCAAGCTGCATCTAGCTACCTGTCCCTTTCTTTTGTTGGACAGAGCAACACATCCATATAATTCTCCTCCCCATCTTCTCCTTCCTTTCCTGTAATGGTGTTATGAGTAAGGTGTGCACTTTCAAGGATCAAATATATTTTATCTATATTTTATCTATATTTTAACGATGCCTGAGCATCAAGATTTCTTTTGAAATTTATAGGGATTGGACGAGCTGCTGTATTGGGCAACCACTGTTTCTTCTGTTGATGTTTTCGTTTTCTTTTTGAATTTGATATCTTTGTATTTGTTTTTTGATTTTATAACAAGTGTTGTGATTTTCCATTGTTTTCCCTTTTTTGTAATTTAGTTTGAATACTTTATATTTCATTTTAATATTTAATTTAATTTGATCATTATCATCTTTATTATTGTTATTTCTTTTTGCTTTTGTGCAACACATTAATAACAATTTATATGTTTAGGACATTTTATGTTTAGATAATTTCTATTTTGTGGGAGTCCCGCGAATCATTTTATTCTCCCGCATCCCGCACACAGAGTCTCTACCCGCACTCGCCCATCAAGAGTTGTCCTGCTCCGCACCCTGTTGCGTTGGGAGTGCATGTCTCTAGTCTGTAGTTCTCCATCAGGTGGTCCCCTAACTGATTTTACCGAATTGTCCTGGCCTTTGCTGGCCAATTTAGACATTGAGGTCACCAGCAGAATCAGAGCCAAGTCAATCCATGAGCAGAGAGAATCAAGGAGAACCAGTGACTAATCAGTCCCCAGTTAGAGAAAATCCAACAGAGCAAGTTATGTACCAGTCTCGTGAAGAAAATACAGTGACTTGAAAAAATTAACAAGTGACTTGCTCCCTTGAATCTTCAGGCTCTGAACATGCAAGAACTGCGTGTAGTAACCACTCTAAACAAGAAGAGAGTATGCCAAGACGTTCAAGTAGAACAAGGTCTGGACAGCACTCCAACCCATTTAACATCCCAAGGCCAGTTTGAACCCCAAAGGGCAGACAACACAGTAGTCAAGTTACAATAAACTCACTATTTACTCCATTTAGAAAGGGGGTGGGGGTACATATGGCACCGGGACGGTGACTTCTGAAGTTCGGATGGATGTGGCAAGAATGATGTAGTGGTCCCTTTAAGGGCTGGGCAAGGGATGTTTCAAGTTCTCGTGATACTGTATAAGCTATTGTTTGATCCCACTCTTTGAAATGCGTTTCACTCAAATGCTTCTTCTTCAAATCGGTTGTGATCACGTTTAAGCTGGCGTTTGATTTCGCTCTGACAAGTGTTTCACGAGTTGGAAGAACTACCTGCATTCTTACATATCACCATGACTCAGGTAATTATTGCTTTTCGGTAGGAGTGATTGGCTGCGTGTATTGCCGACCAGTATTTTTGTAACTGGTATTATACAGGAGTCTTTCAGAACTAATAGTAAATTGTTGGTTACAGCTGCCATATTGTTCCATTTCTGTCAAGCTGCATCTAGCTACCTGTCCCTTTCTTTTGTTGGACAGAGCAACACATCCATATAATTCTCCTCCCCATCTTCTCCTTCCTTTCCTGTAATGGTGTTATGAGTAAGGTGTGCACTTTCAAGGATCAAATATATTTTATCTATATTTTATCTATATTTTAACGATGCCTGAGCATCAAGATTTCTTTTGAAATTTATAGGGATTGGACGAGCTGCTGTATTGGGCAACCACTGTTTCTTCTGTTGATGTTTTCGTTTTCTTTTTGAATTTGATATCTTTGTATTTGTTTTTTGATTTTATAACAAGTGTTGTGATTTTCCATTGTTTTCCCTTTTTTGTAATTTAGTTTGAATACTTTATATTTCATTTTAATATTTAATTTAATTTGATCATTATCATCTTTATTATTGTTATTTACTTTTATAGGTTGTAAAAGTATTATTTGAGTATATGTGGTTTAAATCATGAATTTAACTATTTTACACTTTACTATTTTGATGTTTTCTTTCTTTTTTGGGGGGAATATTACTTTGTTGTGATGGCTGTGTGTATTTGTCACACGGGTTTAATTCGTCTGGTCTTTTATCACTTGGAAAAGTATTTAAGAAGTGGTTGGTCCTGACTCTTATCTTAGATTTACCACTGACATTGATCTAATTTAATTAAATATATCAGTGGTTTCTAGTATTTTAATATTATATTTGTTATAAAAATACATTTTGTAAACTTTGTACTCCGGCTTCCAATTTATTTATTTAAACTACTGTGCAGGGATAAACTTATTGTTTTCCTACACATACACTAGTGGGAGTGGCGTAGTCATACACTTAAACATTTCATATTAGCCCTCGGTCACACATAAAAAATGTGCAGAGCTGTGGGTTGCAAGGACTGGACTTGAGAACCACTGTGTTAAGGGACAAGAATGCATTAAATTGATCAAAATTGACAGTAGAGATTTTCAGATTGTGACTGACACAGGACAAAGATGTCGTCATCTGAGACAGCAGAGAGTAGCCAGTCAAGCATTTCTTACTCTTCTTACTTCTACGAATGACCTCTGCTTCTAATAAACCACACGACGACTACTACTACTACTCTTTTTCGTGCGTATTCAACATAGAGACGATGCAAGCTGCCTCTAAAAACACGAGGAAGAAATGAAGAAGAACAACAACAGTGACGAAACGCGCTCTGTAGAGTAGTTTGTCCGTTTAGGGCTACTGTAGAAACATGGCGGAGCAATATGGCGACTTAACCACAGAGAGGGACCCGCGGTGTATGTAGATAGAAATAGCTTATTCTAAGGTAATTAAAACATAACGGTGAATTTTGTAAGGTAAGTTACATTGCATTTCTGTAAACAGATTCTCAAAAATATTACACATTGCACCTTTAAAAACAGAGCATCTAAAAAAACGAAGTGCTCATGACGTAAGGCACTGAAAAACATGAACTCCAAATGCATATGTACATATACCAGTAATTAAAGTGGAAATAAAAGTAATTTGAAGATCAAAAAAGCTTTAGAACAACTGTTTTAATTCAGATTTGCAGCTTTATCATTAGTTCTATAACATTCTCAACCACAATCGCAGCCACTAGCAGTTGTGGGCATTGACGGTAACCATCACATACTCTCTTACAACCCACCTGTTCAGATGTCTTGTAGAAGGCCACAGAGGCGTTAACCAGCTTTAATCTGTCCTCCATCTTCAGCATGAGGGTCTGCCAGTGCAGGGCCACAGTCTCGGCACAGGCCCGGACAGCATCTGGGTCATAGTGACCCGCCTGCAACATCAGCTCCGCCCTCTGCTGGAGCTGTAGGGCGCTCTGATGTGTGCGCTGGAGAGAGTCGGCGTGGAGAAGAGACTGTGGGCAGCAGAGAGAAGTGTCTCGTTTTAATTCTTGAGGTGTACTTAAATTAAGTTTGTTAACTGCCAGTACACAAGGACCACATGAGAGGCGGGTAAGGTCACGGAGGGGCTCCTTAGAGGAGCAATTAAGACATGATCAGTTAGACGTCCTGCCGTTCAAGGCCCAAACAATCAGCGGTGAAGCACAGCCTGATGCTTTCACAAGAGCATATGCTGGATGAATAAAACTAGTGGCCTGCTTCACACATTTGTTTTGGAGTCACAAATATGAGAAAGTACTTGGATGGTCTGATTTGATGAAAAGTGGTACTTGGCCTGAAAAGTTAGAGAACCGCTGCCGTAGATGATTAAAACATATATTTGGCAGAAGGGAGATTTTGGCCGATACTCAGCGTTCACTTCCTTTGATTTAGAGAGGCTGTCGTTAGTCGAGAATTATACGCAGCAATTTGCTGAATTAAAACTCAGTCCTCATTTCGGGCTTATGTGCTTCTTACTGCTCATAAATTTACTGAGTATTTGTTTTGTTTTTTTAAATCAACTCAGCTGTTTTGTATTCCATCTCTTTGATGAATATAACAAAGGGAACTTTATAACCTATAGACCAATTTACCTTCTGTTTATGACAGATAACAACAAAAGGGATGAACATTCTCCAAAATGTGTTTATTACCCCCCCTCCATTTAAATAAATGATCTGTTTGATATTAGCAAATAATTATTTCCAAATTGCAGATAATGGTGTAAACAAGGTTTAATATTTAATATTAATCTGCATATTACAGCATACTACAGCTTCATGAAGCTGCCCCCTGCAGAACCTATTAAAGAAAATGTGTGTGTGTACCTCGATGGCAAGCTGAAACTGTTCATGCTCTCTCTGAAGTTGTTCCGCCTCAGATAAGGAACCTGCATTCGTTGTGCTCGCCGTGAGCATGGATTCACCATTACGGATCCAACCCAGCACCTGCACAGATCATCACACACACACACACACACATAGTGGCATGTGATAAAACTGGCTGCAGAGGGAAAAATGAAAGTCATTTGAGACATTTGAAAAAAGTTTATTTTTCCTTGCTGTAGCTTAATGTCTCAACACTGTCAGTTACAGAAATAATGTGCGATGTCAAATAATTAATAATTGCAAATCTATTATTCAACTTAAAATTTAGACTGTATGGTGGTTCCAAATATATATATATATAAAAAAAAATATATATATATATACACACTATGCATACTTGAAAGTTAGTGAACCCTTTAGAGTTTTCTATAGTTCTGCATAAATATAACTCAAAAGATCATCAGATTTTCACTCAAGTCCTGAAAGTAGACAAAGAGAATCAGCATGAGGGTCTGCCAGTGCAGGGCCACAGTCTCGGCACAGGCCCGGACAGCATCTGGGTCATAGTGACCCGCCTGCAACATCAGCTCCGCCCTCTGCTGGAGCTGTAGGGCGCTCTGATGTGTGCGCTGGAGAGAGTCGGCGTGGAGAAGAGACTGTGGGCAGCAGAGAGAAGTGTCTCGTTTTAATTCTTGAGGTGTACTTAAATTAAGTTTGTTAACTGCCAGTACACAAGGACCACATGAGAGGCGGGTAAGGTCACGGAGGGGCTCCTTAGAGGAGCAATTAAGACATGATCAGTTAGACGTCCTGCCGTTCAAGGCCCAAACAATCAGCGGTGAAGCACAGCCTGATGCTTTCACAAGAGCATATGCTGGATGAATAAAACTAGTGGCCTGCTTCACACATTTGTTTTGGAGTCACAAATATGAGAAAGTACTTGGATGGTCTGATTTGATGAAAAGTGGTACTTGGCCTGAAAAGTTAGAGAACCGCTGCCGTAGATGATTAAAACATATATTTGGCAGAAGGGAGATTTTGGCCGATACTCAGCGTTCACTTCCTTTGATTTAGAGAGGCTGTCGTTAGTCGAGAATTATACGCAGCAATTTGCTGAATTAAAACTCAGTCCTCATTTCGGGCTTATGTGCTTCTTACTGCTCATAAATTTACTGAGTATTTGTTTTGTTTTTTTAAATCAACTCAGCTGTTTTGTATTCCATCTCTTTGATGAATATAACAAAGGGAACTTTATAACCTATAGACCAATTTACCTTCTGTTTATGACAGATAACAACAAAAGGGATGAACATTCTCCAAAATGTGTTTATTACCCCCCCTCCATTTAAATAAATGATCTGTTTGATATTAGCAAATAATTATTTCCAAATTGCAGATAATGGTGTAAACAAGGTTTAATATTTAATATTAATCTGCATATTACAGCATACTACAGCTTCATGAAGCTGCCCCCTGCAGAACCTATTAAAGAAAATGTGTGTGTGTACCTCGATGGCAAGCTGAAACTGTTCATGCTCTCTCTGAAGTTGTTCCGCCTCAGATAGGGAACCTGCATTCGTTGTGCTCGCCGTGAGCATGGATTCACCATTACGGATCCAACCCAGCACCTGCACAGATCATCACACACACACACACACACACACATAGTGGCATGTGATAAAACTGGCTGCAGAGGGAAAAATGAAAGTCATTTGAGACATTTGAAAAAAGTTTATTTTTCCTTGCTGTAGCTTAATGTCTCAACACTGTCAGTTACAGAAATAATGTGCGATGTCAAATAATTAATAATTGCAAATCTATTATTCAACTTAAAATTTAGACTGTATGGTGGTTCCAAATATATATATATATAAAAATATATATATATATATACACACTATGCATACTTGAAAGTTAGTGAACCCTTTAGAGTTTTCTATAGTTCTGCATAAATATAACTCAAAAGATCATCAGATTTTCACTCAAGTCCTGAAAGTAGACAAAGAGAACCAAATCAAACAAATTAGACAAAAATATATACTTTTTCATTTATTTATTCAGGAAAATGATGTAATATTACATATCAGTGAGTGGCAAAAGTATGTGAATCTCTATTAGCAGTTAATTTGAAGGTGAAATTAGAGTCCATCTGTTCAGAGGTGTTTTTAAACAGTGGGAAGACTATCAGGTGTTAGTGTGTGCCCTGTTTTATTTAAAGAACAGGGATTTATCAAAGTCTGATCATGTTTGTGGAAGTGAATCATGGCACGAACAAAGGAGATCTCTGAGAACCTCAGAAAAAGAGTTGTTGTTGCTCATCAGGCAGGAAAACGTTACAAAAAACGATCTCTAAAGAGTTTGGACTCAAATCCACAGTCAGACAGATTGTGTACAAATGGAGGAAATTCAAGACCATTGTTACCCTCCCCAGGAGCGGTTGACCAACAAAGATCACTCCAAAAGCAAGACCTGTAATAGTCCATGAGGTTGCAAAGGACCCCAGAGTAACTTCTAAGCAACTAAAGGCCTTTCTCACATTGGCTAATGTTAATGCTGAGTCCACCATCAAGAGAACATTGAACAACCATGGTGTGCATGGCAGAGTTGCAAGGATAAAGCCACTACTTTTCAAAAAGAACATTGCTGCCTGTCTGAAGTTTGCTAAAGATCATGTGGACAAGCCAGAGGGCTACTGGAGAAAGGTTTAATGGATGGATGAGACAAAAATAGAATCTTTTGGTTTAAATGAGAAGCGCTATGTTTGGAGAAAGGAAAACATTGTATTCCATTATAAGAAACTTTTCCCATCTGTGAAACATGGTGGTGGTAGTATCATGGTTTGAGCCTGTTTTGCTGCATCTGGGCCAGGACAGATTACCATCATTGATGGAACAATGAATTCTGAATTATATCAGCAAATTCTATAGGAAAATGTCAGGACATCAGTCCGTGAACTGAACTGAATCCAAACACACAAGTCATTCTACCAAAGAATGGTTAAAGAAGAACAAAGTTAATGTTTTGTATGGCCGAGTCAAAGTCCCGACCTTGAATGTGGAAGGACCTGAAGCAAGCTGTTCATAGGAGAGAAACCCACAAACATTACAGAGTTGAAGTGTTTTTGTACGGGCTAAATGGAATGGGCTAAAATTCCAACAAGCTGTTGTGCAGGACTGATCAGCGGTTACAAGAAACGTTTCGCTGCAGTTATTGCACCAGATACCGAAAGGAAAGATTAACATAGTTTTGCTACTCACAGATTTACATATCTGGATCATTTTTCTTGATAAATAATTGACCAGGAATATATTTTTGTCTACTTTGTTTGATTGAATTCTCTTTGTCTACTTTCAGGACTTGTGTGAAAATCTGAGGATGTTTTGATGTCAGAAATATAGAAAATTCTAAGGGTTCACAAACTTTCAAGCAGCACTCTCTCGCTCTCTCTATATATATAGTGCTGCTTGAAAGTTTGTATGCATATATATATAAATATATATATATATTTTAGTGCTATCAAACGATTAATCGCGATTAATCACATCCAAAATAAAAGATTTTGTTTACATAATATATGTGTGTATACTGTGTATATTTATTAGGTATATATAAATACCAACACATGCATGTATATATTTAACAAAAAAAATATGTTATATTTATATATTAAATATATTTATATAACATGTAAATATTTTTAAAATATATACTGTATGTGTGTGTATTTATATATACATAATAAATATACACAGTACTCATACATATATAATGTATATATATATATATATGTTGGCATTTTCAAAACTAATGGCAGGAAAAACTGTTTAACATTTCGTTCCACATCTTAAGAATCTGTGAAATGTGCAGAAACATTAAGGATGAAGAAACATTCAAGCTGAGTTGAAGGGATTCCCCCTCCCACGTTATTTAACACCCTGCCTACATTTACATTCATTTTCTAACCAAACTGATATACAAGAAAAGACATATAGAAACAAGATACAATACAAATAATTAAAGAACAAAGATAAAACTGCAACAGCACTGCCAATAAGAAAACTGTTATGAAATAATGCAAGTGAATTGAGTGATTCATTTTTCTGAAATGCAGGGCTGCAGTCTGCACCCACGCCCTGCTCTGGATATGAGCGACAGTGTGTGTGTGTGTGCTCAAAGTGTCAAAGATAAAAGCAATTAGCCGGGCACTTGTACTCAAGGCTAATGAAATCAGTCAGAATCTTGGACGGTAGTAGAGCACAGGCTTTTTTCCTGAATATAGATGTAAGGTGTTCCTCACAACATTTCGATGAGTGTAACTAGATGAGTGTCACTAAATGTGACCATGAGCTGAGATGTAGCAACTGATTTTAAACACACACCTGTTTGACCTCGGCCTGCAGGTGTCGTAGCTGAAGGCACTGCTCCAGACGTTTGTGTGTGTGTTCTGCGCTTACTTCCAGCTCATGCTGTTTTTCATTCAAGAACTCCAGCAGTTCTTGAACTTTTGCCGCCAAGTCGACGTCTTTTTCTCCGGTGATTTCCATACCTGAAAAACATACACAGATTTTAAAAATAAATATCAGCATATACACATATACACAGGGCCCAGTACATCGGTTTCACTGCATATATAATAAAATATCAATCCAAGTAGCATATATAAACAAATTATGGTGTTTTTATGAAATATTTGACAACCTGAAAGAGTCCAAATGTTGTTTGTCTAAAGTTGTAATAAATAAATTTTATCTTCATCACAGCCTCCTTCATTCAACTTCTTTTTGTGAAGTGTTTTGCTTTAAAAGTGCTATACTTGTGTACATGAGTCCAATCTGCGTTATGTCCTAATTTTTTAGCCCTGTTTGTAAAATACAAATAAACAAACAAAAAATTAGACATGCAATTTAAATGTGAATTATGCCATTTCTATGCAACTAGCATCAGAAAATAAAATGGCAAAATAATTATAGAATTCAAACAGGTTTCCTGAACATTCTCTCCGTTGGCCATGTGTAAGTCAAACAGTCCCTCTCCAAACATGTTATGACAGATCATTGGTTGAGCATAAGAGACTTCTTTCAACATTAACAATTCTTAATTATTCCAAACTCTTTGACTGGTAGTGTATAACTCTGTATGTCAAGATGTGATATGAGGAAGTATTTTAACATCAAAAGAATTACACGTTTTACATTGAAGTGTTAGCGTGAGGTTATCAGAAAATACAAAAAGAACTAAAAACTCTTTCAGGTGAGTATAGATTATCCCAGTGAGTTTTCTCTCCTCTGTCCAGCAGGGGCCGCTGTGCTGTGAACCACTATGGCTCTGGCCTCCTCTGAAGGTCTCAAGCTCTGCTGTGATCTCAGGGAGCAGTTATGATGGCATGTAAGTGGGGAACATTGTCAGACAGGTGAGCGTGTGATGAAATGTCCCGGCTGCCCAGCCGAGCGGCATCCATCATATGTGCGTTCGCGTGTCTGTAACTGCATTAGCGTGTGACAGACAACCAGCGTCTGGGCAATGAGCGCACCAGAAACAGAGACTCTCTGCAGATACAACACAGGGCGTTTTAACCTTCCTTACATCACCACACTTATCCTCAGCTACCTGCCCGTAGGCTGTCTCCATGACAACCTCACAGCAGGCCACAGGAGTCGGTTCCCATGGGAATGTGATGTGTGAGTGACAGGATGGCCTCTGCAGTATCCCAAGCCTCCTTGCGGCAACCCAACAGTGAGCGATGGAGTGTGTCCGAGGCAACCCCAAAGTGACGAGCGAAGGCCCGTCACCATGGAAACCTTGGTATAGGGGATGTAAAGGGGGGGTTTCCATAGCAACCTCACCCCTGCATACAGAGTTAATAGTATGAGAGATCCCAGAGCTGTATGGAGCTCCGTCTTCTCCCTCCACTCCTTCCAATCCATTTCACCTTCACTTGCTGTCATGCACACATTTTCCATCCTTATCTTTACCACACAATCATCCACTTCTCTCTCTTCGTCATTCATCACACATATCTAAGACAGCCCATAATGTGGGTAGCAGGTTTTGGCTGTTGTGTCCATGGTAACTGTCAAAAAAATGCACAGAGGAGTGAAGCGATGACTGATTCACACTCTTTCATCTCTCCACTGAACACTAACTCATCATCACTCCAGTGTTCTTTTAATTTCTCACCGGCTGCAACAGCAGACATTAGCAAGCCGTGTTGCAGCTGTAAAGGCTGGTTCACACTGACCCAATAAAGAGCAACATTTCAAACACTGTAAAAGTCAGATGTTGGATGTAGACTGTTCACATTACCCCAACAAGATTTCTTTCAAAGGGGTTAGTTACTGTAAAAAATATATAATGTTTTCATCACATGGCGTGAGACACAAGGAGCTTCTAATAAAAGAGAAGCACACTGGAATTTGCACAAATAAAACTGCACAGAGGATGAAGGACAGCAGGCCAGCAATAAAATCTGTACATGAAAGATGAGGTTCATAAATTTCATTAAATATATATTATAAATATTAATATTAATATAAAACTTGTATGACTTTTTGTTGTTGTTGCAGACCCTAAAAGAAGATTTTTTTTGAAGAATGTTGATACCCCAAACTGTTTTGATTATAATTTGAAAACTAAAAAAAGCTAATTCATAACAAAATAAAATAAATACTATGATAGTAAAAAAAAATTATAATAAAAAATAAATATTATATAGTATAAAATAACATTGCCCTTGACCCATATACAGATCTCAGTATAAGTGATTTTACTACCATCATGTTTCACCAACTTCATGTTTTTGTGAATCCACAGGCAATGCCCTGACAGCACAAAATGAAACAGAACACATGTGTTGTTAAAGGAATAGAAGAACGTGTTCTGTGTGAAGGGCCTTTTGTCTGCCGCAGACAGAAATGGATTGCTGTGGTCTGTATGCTTGCGATAGTTTTATGTTCAGTTAAATAAAACAAACACTGACTTCTTAAGTCATTTTTTGTGATGTCTATTCAATTATTTTCCACAATCTGCCACAGCAATGTCTTTACATTATCCATGGACATCCATAAATATTGATATATGTGATCAATTCTAATCATTTGAGTCATTTAATTCACTTAATAAAAATGTACCTCATTGTTGTCATGTTATGTTTTATTCAGTCTCTTTTGGTTTCAGTTTCATGGACCTCTAGTTTAAGTCAGTTTCCTTTTTCCTTTGTCCCACCACTAATCTCCATGGACACTAACTCAGTTTATCACAGCTGTTCGCTATTAGTTTTTCATCACTGTGTATTTAAGTTCCTCCCTGTGCATTCCTCATCTACTTGTATTTGTTTGATTTAATAAAAAGTTCTGTTATTTTGAATCTTCATCATCTTCTGACCTGAAGTGTGACAGAATACCAGACCCAAAGATGAGAAGAAGAGGGAAGATTGCTGCCATTAATGTGGCACCGCAAAGCTGGCCGGGACTCAATGGAGGAGTGATTTTTATCTTCCAAGGTGGCCAATCCTTGGAGGACTACGTGGAGGAGTTTGTCACCATCAGCCACCAAGCGGCATGCAATCACGTCACCCTCATGGACAGCTTTTGGTGTGGGCTGGATGAAGACATCCGCTTCCCGATGCCCAGAGGGAATTCCTGATGCAGTTTAGCTGAGTACATCAACTTTGTCCTCTGGGTGGATGGGTCCCCCTTTAAAGTGGGGAGGAGGAGGAAAACAGCACAAGTGTCCAACCCCATCCAACATCCATCGCCAAGTTGCTGAGACGAAGAGACGAGAGAGCCAGAGCCTGAGAGGACAGAGCCAATCATAGCCCCAATGCTTGAGTCTCAAAAGGAGTCTGACCAGGTGTGTGAGCCGGCACCACTGTGTATCGCCGTGGGACACTTGGAGTATGAGGGTATAGAGAAGGACCCCACCTACTATCCCGCTGCTGAGGGTGAGCTGGAATTCAAGTTCAGTTTTTTTTTTAATATTTAGAGGAGGAAGTCTCCTTTTTCGTCCCGCCACCACTGATCCTGCCCAGCACTGAGATTCCTGTTTATCGTCACCGAGTTTGCCTAGTTCAAAATTACATGTGTCTTCATCATTGCTGATTATGCTCAGCTCAGAATTGCCTCCATCGCTGGTCCTGCCCAGCTCAGAGTATCCTGTGTCTACAGAGCACCCGCCCAGCCTCCCTCTCTCGCCTTCTCTTCATAATCTAGCCTGTTCTTCAGCCCTGCCTTTGCTGGCTACCTCCAGTCCATCGACATCTCCAGTTACCGCACTCAAGTGTGCGGATCTGCCTTTGATCCTTTGGTTGCCAGCTCCATCTAGGCTAGAGGTTCCCATAGCTCTGGCTTCAGCTTCTGGACCATTCACTCCACCTCAGCCAGTTGACCCACAAGCTCCGCGCTGGCTCCTCCCTCCCTCTACTCCACTCGGGACAATCGTCCTTCTGTGTCCTCTGGATTCCCTCGTCCCACTGGCTCCACCCTGGTCAGTCGTCACTCCATTTTAGCCACTGACTTTTAGGCTGTCAGCTACGCTTAGTCCCTCCACCCCTACGGCTTCACTGCGCTCCTTATTCTTTCAGGTTCCACCTTTTTCCTCAGTCTCCATGTCATCACCGCAATCCTCAGGCTCCCTGGCTCCACCTCTATCACTCGTCACGGCTGCTTCGCCATGGTCTCCTATACCATCTTCGTCGTTCTGCCACTTGTGCTCTCCATCTGTGCCCTGGTTACCTCTTTCAACAGCTTCATTTCTGTCTGTCATCACCATGGTCACTTCTGCCAAGCCTTCAGCATGGCTCCTCCCTCCATCAACTCTGCCGTGGGCTGTTATTCTGGCTGGGCTCTGGATCCCTGGTTGGCTACTCCTCCTATCCACACTATCTTGCTCCTGATCCTGCCACCATTGGTTCACCCTGGATCTTGCTTCTGTCTGCTCCTCCCTGGGTCCTGCCTCCATCTGTTCCTCCTTGGGTTCTGCAACTGTCTGTTCCTCCCAGGTTTCTGCCACTGTCTGCTCCTCCCTGGGTCCTGCCTCTGTCTGCTCCTCCCTGGATTCTGCCACCATCTGCTCCACCCTGGTTCCTTCCTTCTGCCAGTTTCCTACCCTTCACCTGCCCCTCGTCTGCCTCCTGAACCACCTCAGTCATTCTACAACATGAGGCCGTGCCTTCCCGGAAGGGAGAGTTCTGTCACGGATATGTTTAGTTCAGTCTCTTTTGGTTTCAGTTTCATGGACCTCTTGTTTGTTCAGTCAGTTTCCTTTTTCCTTTGTCTTAGTTTCCCGCCACTATTCTATTTCCATGGACACTAACTGAATAATCACAGCTGTTCATTATTAGTTTTTCACCACTGTGTATTTAAGTTCCTCCTTGTGCACTCATTTGTCTGATATTGTTTGTGATGCCACAATGTTTCGCCTGCTTTATCCTGTGTATCTACCTGTATTTGTTTGATTTAATAAAGTCTTCTGTTTTGAATCTTCATCGTCTTCTGACCTGAAGTGTGACAACTGTCATGGAACCCATTCCTGATCAAGTCAGATTATGTCAAGGTTTGTTGGAGGAAATTATACCACACTGATCAAAGATTCCGCAACCCGACAAACGCAAAATGAACATCAGCAAAACAAAGTAGACCAATAGCGATAGTATGAAACTATTACTCTCTCTTGAACCCTTTCTGTGTCCTTCACTCTGTCTCTACATTTCTGACCAGCTCCTCACCTGAAGCCTGGACCTCCATGATGTACTGGTGAAGATCCTGTCCCTGCTGTATGACCTCATAGGTCATGTTGTTCATGGCGAGTTTGCGCTCAGTGTGTCTGTGTAATCTCTGTTCAGCCAGCGTGAGTTCCTCTGTGTTGAAATCAGATGCCTGTCGCATCAGATCCTGTTTCCATGCATCCAGCTCACCCATCACCTATGGAACAAACGCATATATTACCAGTTTACACTCATATTAGTAAAAATAGTGACTAGAATTTAAGTCGCCAATCACAGAAAATCTTGACATCCACGAGAGTAGTGATGCTCAATTTGTGAACGAATCATTCTTTTGAGTCGGATCTTTTCAATGATTCACTCACAAATCAGACTGATCCAGTTCAGCTCAGCTTACTGGAGAAGTGCTGTTATCAGTAAATAAAACTAAAACTATTACAACTTTTTTCTATAAAATCTTTGGAAGTCAAAATTAATTTAAATGCAAGAAGATTCCCCCAATGTCAATATTGAAAACACTCACATTGCAAGATTGATTAAGCTTTAGCGTTAGTTCTGGCAGGTCACGTGAGTCAAGCTTGCATCAGCTGATTCTCAGCTGATCACATCTACCTATAGGAATACGACACCTATCGCGGCATTCCTATATAAGCTGTATTCAGTATTATTCAGCATCTTTTCAGCTTGCTTCGGAGCAAATTATCCTCCTCCATCCCCAGCTCCACCTTTCGCCACAGTCAGGACTTAGCTTTCTGATATTCCTTGCTAATCAGACGCTTTATCTCGAATAAAGTGTTACACTTAAATATCATTGAGTACATTAATGATATCTGCCTTGTTCTGTTCTGTTAACCCTGGGGGGGTTATTATTGCTGCTCTCCCTGCTCATTCATGACAGGCTGCATGGATGGGCAGGGAGGTTTTTTGCCCAGAACAGAACCATACCGCCAAACCAAACTTTATGCTAAGTATCTATCATCTTGACGATAGTGGTCCTGACAGAACTCCATTAAAGGGCAGATTACCCAGTTATATAACATATTAAGAGAAAATCATAAAGAGAGCTCTGAAAATAAAAGACAAGCATGGATACAAGATGTAAATATGGATATTTCATTAGATGACTGGAATGCAATTTGTTTAAATGCACAAACACAAACAATAAACACTCGGTTGAGACTCTACCATAATATAAGTGGGTAATGAAAAATGATACAGTATAACCCCTGCAAGATTTTTAAAAAATTAACCCTAATATCCCTGATCTATGCAATAAGCTTCAAGGTAAATTTTTCTATTGTGTGTGGGAATGTGAGGAGTTGCAGAATTTTGGGGGTGGGGTGACTCAATATGTTTCTCAACTTACTTCGTCTCCAATTCCTCTATGCCCTGTATTGTGTGTATTTAATATTTATACAGACAATTGCTCTTTGTCTACTAAAGAAAGAAAGCTGGTGGACTTGTGTCTATTACAAGCAAGACGTTCTATTGCCCTATGTTGGAAACTTACCAATTGCCCTTCCCTTGGACTATGGCTGAAAACCATAATATATTTTTTGGCTCTTGAAAAGCTTACATATGTACTGTAATAAGGAAGAAACTATCTGAATGTTTTGATATCTGGGAGGTGTTTTTGGACTTTGGATAAAAATGGAGATATTGAAGAAGCTTCAGATGTGTGAAGTTATGGAATGTAAGAATATGTATGAGGACTGCATGATATTAATCAATATACTGTATGCTTACAGGGGTTGTTGTTGTTGTTGTTGTTGTTTTAAATCCTGCCTGAGGTATGTTCTGGTGAGTTGTGTTGTGTTTTTGTAAAATGTTTTGTTAAAACTCAATAAAGATATGTTATACAAAGTTTAGTTCAAATACATGAAAAAAAATGCAAGAAGATGCTGCAACTAACTGAAAAAAAATTAAGTTATAGTTCTTAAATTACTAAAACTAAAACAAAAAAATATATATAAGCTAAATGGAAATATAAATATATATATATATATATATATATAAAAACTAATATAAATGACAAAAGCACATAACAAAATTACTAAAACTTAAATTAAACTAAAATTAAAAATATGAAATAAAAACAAATTTAAAATATTAATAAATAAATAATAATACATAAATAATACTAAAATAACACTGCACTACAATGCATGAGTTATATGGAACACTTTTCTGATGCATTTGTTTCTTTCTTGAAGCTTGACAGCCCTAGTCTTAATTCACTTCCATACTGAAAAGAGTAAGTAGGATATTTTTCAAAAATTCACATTTGGTGTTCCACAGAAGAAAGTAAGCCATTTAGACGATGACAGATATGGGGATAAACTATGAGATCAAGTGTATACAGTAAAACAAACAACACTCCTCAAAACTGATTTACAAATTAAAACATTAAATTTTACATAATTCACAAACATACAGATATGCAAACGCAGACAGCAGAGAAGAACATCTGTTCAAATAAAGTTGCGCTGATAATGACTTGAGTCCAGGCCATCAAACACACACACACCTCCAAGGCGTACTGTTCAAAGATACGGAGCTGCAGGAAGATGTCCAGTTTGATCCTGCGCTCGTGAAAAACCTCCTCCATATGAGCCTGAGCCTCATCCAACTGCTGAAGAACGCCCTCGATATGAGCCATGGAGCTGGCATGAGGCAGCTTATTACAGGCCAGCGCTGAGTCCCTGTTTGAACGAACACAAACCCACGCCAACACATAGAAGAGCAAATCAATATCAATAGAGGGCACGTTAATTCAGAACCAGTATATCAGTATGACATAACATGAAAGGACTTGTTCAGAAGTAATCTGAAAAGAATATTATTAAAATTGATCTGCAAACTAAAAATTATTGGAGCTGTGGCCTTGTGGTTAACAGATTTGGATCTAAATCCTGTACTTCACTGGATAGTTACGCTTTCAGGGCAGTTGCAAGAAGTCAGGTTGGGAAGCAATTGGTAAATTATGGAATGGAAAATATGAAAAGTTGGTTTATGATCAGTGGTGGACAGTAACTGTGGAAAAATCTGGTGGACAGTTTTCATGCATCTGTACTTTATTTGAATATTTTTTTTTTGAAAAACTTTTACTGCACTACATTTACTTTTCACGACATGTACTTTTACTTTACTGCATTTCCTAAAAACATGTTGTTCCTCATTATTTTGAATTGAAGAAATCGTCATCTGCTCCGAGACGCGATAGAGGTGTCCGATTCATGAACGAGCTGATTCTTTTCAATGAACCTGTTAAATCGTTCACAACTCGCGCTGAACTATTCATACGCCAGTTGGACTGATCAGATTGCAATTGTTCTTGAGTCAACAACGTAATTCAAAACTAGTGTTTTTATGATAGAAATTTTACACTAATGACAGTAGTATCCAGTGATGCAAACTACTCAACTTTTTTTTCACAAATATGGATGTTTTGAATTGAAAATATGGTATTATTTACATGACTCATGTAATTCTAAATGTGACAAATCAAGAAACGTTTTGCGTTTTTAACATATTAGACATACAAATAAAAGTGTATGCGTGCATATCTTAAAATATTATTTTAAAATAGTTCAAAATGATTATTTCCCAACTAGAATTAGACCTACAATTTTCTTCACCATTCGATTACTTTATGAAAATGCCCCCCCCACCCCCCCACTTCATCCACCACTTGTTATGATGAAATACTGTACAATAGGAGCGTGCTGTCAACCTCACCGCAGGTGCTGAATAAGCTCCTCCCCTTCTTTGATGACATTGAGTGTGGCGTCCAGAGTGTTGCTCTGCTGCTGCTGAAACTGTCTGATCAGCTCCTGAACAGCATCCACAGACTCAGAGTTCACCACCGGCTCCACAAGAGTCTTCTGCAAGTCCTCCATCCATGACCACAGCTACAGACAGACAGGACAGACAGACAGACAGACAGACAGTCAGACAGATATGTTGTTTCAAGGCTGTTGATCAGGGGTGTTGCTAGGCAGTTGTTAGTTTTTCTAGGTGGTTACTTGGCCACTTTGGGGGTTAATAGGGTGTTGCTACATGGCTGTTGCTAAGATGTTCTGGGTAGTAGTTTCTAGGACAGGTGTTTTCAAAGTGTGGTAAAAATTTATTTAATTAATGATTAATAATTTAAATCAATACATTATAGTGGAAATATTACTATATACAAGTGAAAAGAAGCAGATTTTTGGACAAGAGACGTTGTTAAATTTCTGCTCCTCTGTTTGCAGTCAGATCATTTTAAACTGAAAGTTTTCAGTCCAACCATCCAGTAAGTGAATGCATTCAAGCAGTCTGTTAAAAACTGTGCTAATGCCAAAAAACCAAGCTGATTACATCAGAGATCACGGAGAGAATAGTTACTCACGTCCAGATTTTATTCAGTGTGTATTTGGCTTCAAAGCATCATCTCTCTCAAATGACTGAACAGCAGCTCAAAACACCCAACCGCTGCATGAGTATATGATACACAAACTACATCTCTCGGCTGGATAAAGCAAACCAGTGTTGCGCTAGTAAAGATTTGATGGATGACGATGGTAACATGGTAAAGACAAAAGTCTGTTATTATTGATGCACAAACAAACAAACCATGTGTGCGCATGCACTCTATAGCATGATCATTATAACATTGTATTTTGCATGAACATATTTCTTATAATTTTTGTAGTTCTCAAAATTCATGTCCTGTGAGTGTTTTATAATGGATGCTGGCTAAAGAAGCATGTTTTAGAGTTGCTAGGTTGCTAGTTGCTATTTTTAGGGGGTCGCTAAGGTGTTGCTAGAGTGTTCTAGGAAGTTTTTTGGAAAGTTGCTAGAGCGCTGCAGCGATTTCTTTACTTATTTACAGTTAGAATTATTACTCTCATAAGCAGTTGTTTAAACAGAATCTCATTATGTTGTCTTTGTCCATTCAGTTTAGTTTTTAATTTGTGCTGCCAGTCAGTAAGTGAAGTTGAGAGCTACTAACAAAATCTCTCACGCATGAACAGAGATCAGTCAAAACTATTAAAACTATTTGAGAAGCTCTATTTAGCATGTGTGTGTGTGTGTGTGTGTGTGCGCGCACATTCCCTCTTTAGTGTGGGTGTGAAAAGACACTGAGATATCCAACAGCAGTTTCCTCTGCTCCACCCTCCGCACAAACTCCTGAACTCTGACCTCCAGGTGATGGGCGGCAGCGTAAATCTCTTCCGGATCACACTCTCCCGTCTGAGCCAGCTGCTCCGCAGCCTCCAAAAGCTTATCCGCATTAGTGTAAGTGTTCTGGAGTGAAAGAGAGAGAGAGAATGAGTGAGAGAGAGAAGTACATTAAAAACATCTTCCTTGAATATTAACAGGAAACTCAATAGCAAGATGAATGATATCACTGCTACTGCTCATTTGCTCCTCTCTCATCATGCAAAAAATACACACACAAACACAACGTAAACTGATTCCTACCTGTGCTACCTCCTGGAAGTCATCATGCCGTTTTTGTAGTGCTCGTGCTCTGTGTACAGACTTCCCAACTCCTGTGTGTTTACTGAGGAATACCTCTCCATGGTTTTCAATCCAGTCCAAGACCTGAGCACACACACATCAACACTGGATATATATATGTGTGCGTGTGTATAGCACAATGTGTATGTGTGTATTGCAGATAATGTTAATGCAATAAAAGGCCACTTAATTGTACTTTCATGGTTATGTTTCTTCACACACACACACACACACACACACACACACACACACACACACACACACACATGCACACATTTTTAAAAAGTGCCCTTAGTAATAAAGGCAAATTAAAAGTTTTAGTTAATATAAAGTTAATACATTTTAAATGTAATAAACTGCATGTTCATCATTAAAAATGTACAATTATAAATATATTTAAATGCAAGATTCAATTCAAATTAAATTTGGCAGTATGCTTTAATCATTTCAAAGACAATAGAAGTAATTATGATATATAAAGATGTATTTTAATGGTTAGTTCGCCCAAAAATGAAAATGCTGTCATCATTTACTCACCCTCAAGTTGTTCCAAACTTGTAAGAGTTTCTTTTTTCTATGGAACATAAAATAAGTTATTCTGAATAATGTTGGAAGTCAGTGGGGACCAGCAACTGTTTGGCTACCCACATTCTTCAAAATATCTTTTTTTTGTGTTCAGCAGATGAAAGAAACTCATACAAGTTTGGGAAAGTCTGAGGGGAAGTAAATTATGACAATTTTCAACCTAGTCTTATTTATGTCGAATTTATGTTAAAAAACACTCTTAAGTTCAACTAATTGCATTTAATATAATTTTAAACTATAACGCATTTTCATTAATTTCATTTCTTTTTCAAATAACATGCAATTAAGTGTCCAGAAACAATACACTCAATTTGACCTTAAGCATATTCTTTTACAGTAGTAAAATGAGTACTGTTTTTAACCGTATGCTAAAGTGTGTTTCTTTTTCACAAGGGTCATCTAATTTGTGATGTTTCTTACCGATAGAAACATTTTGCATATCCTAACAGCAAGTCAGAGTTTAAATAGTTAGTTCCAAAGAGGCTCAGGGGATTTTTGAAGGTTCAACAAACTTTAACAGTTAGAAGTCAAAGTTCTTTTAGTTCACTGCACAAGCTCAATGCTTGAGAAGGCCTCGTTTCTGCCTAAAGAGGCCTTGGAAAGGATCCAGTGACATCAAAGAAACAACACAGTCCTGACAGAGAACCGGTGAAAGTACAACAAAAAGCCCCTGAAGGCAACGGCCACAGGAAGCAGAGTGTATTGTTGGAGGTATTGACTATGAGCCAGAGTCCGTGTCACTTCCTTGTCACTTCCTCTAATGCTCTCTGCACTTGATATTTGTTCTGCCATAGGAGAAACATCGTTACACACAAAGATTTAAAAACAGCTGCTGAAAGGTTGAGAGGCTGGGGTCAGATTCGTCAGATGTTGAATTCTGTGTGTATAGTGTGTGTGAGTGCATGCAGAATTGCATGTTCGGGAATTGCATGCATATCTGAGTGGTTCTATACATGATTTCCATAATCCATATACCTGCTGCACATCTTGTTGAAACACACACAGCTGAAGTCTCTGGTGCAGCCGGAGCTTGCGGTGTTGCAAGAGACCCTCCAGTCTGCGATATTGATGAACTACCCCATGGACCACCTCCAGGACCCCCCTCACCGCCTGACTGTAGTCGGCCCCTGCCGTCAGGGACCCGGAGTCAGGCAGGGGCTGAGGCCTCTGCAACACATCCAGTAGTGTTTTTCCTTTCTGACTGACCTGCAATCAGAAATAGAACATTCAATAGGCAGTGGTATTTTTACTTTGCACTTTATTACTTCAAGTGTCTGTGTGTTTTAGAGTACTGATTACAACATTATAAGCATAATATGTAAAGCTTTGTGGGCTACATCTTATATTAAAAAGTCTACTAAAAAGAGCATCTCCTCAAATGCTCACCTCTGTGTATGCTGTGGTGACCTGCTCGTACAGATTCTGGTGGTTGTGAATGGCTATCTCCAGTTCTTGCGTTGCTATCGGCAAGCCGACCTCACCGCATGACTTCACCCATCCCTCCATGCTGGACAGAAACTGAGAGAGAGAACACTCTCTTAAACTTTACAGCGAAAAAGGTCCATGTAATAAAACCAGAGAGGACAGAGGTGAACAGTTGTACACACTCATTTAAAACAAGCTCAGACATAATTAAACAGAGTTGCTGAGGATCATGCAAATTGTGGTCATAAATCAAAGGCATGAAGAAGCTATGTGTGCACATTTAGGTAAAGGAGTTATTAATGAAGAAACAGACTGAAGCTGACAGGGGAGCCAAATAGAGGAAATCAGGAATTGTTGAAAAAAAACTGATCAAATGAGTCAAGGAACCAAATTAGTGATAATAGATTAACTAGTTGTAGTAGGAAATATAACATCAGTAAATACACAGTGGTTGGATTATGTGAGGTGCTGTTTCTCCCTGATTAAAAATTACTTTTCTTGGTGTGGCCTAATGCAATCACACTTAGAATCAGTTATATTAAATCATATTTTTGACTTATGTAAAACTACATAAAGCATATTTTTAGATTTTTAGATTTTTTGTTTCTTCCAAAACAGTTTTACAGCATAGAAATGCACAGGGTAAAATCATTACATTGGGGGTGTAAAATTGTAATGATGCATCACAATGCATCGATCTGACAATGAAAATTTAATGCATTCATTACAATCATACAAACTGAACAGTTATTACCTGTTCAGATTTCTGGTGGAAGACAGAGGACATGACCAGGATGGCACTGCGCTCCTCCAGAGCCGAGGCAAAGCTCTTCCAGTCCTGATCCAGCTGGCCAGAGATCTGCTGTATCTGAGCGGCAGCGTAATGACCCGCCTCACAGAGCCGCGTCGCCACCGAGACGATACGCGAGATATTGACATACGCATTCTGAAAAGACAGAAACAGGATGCCAGAAGATGATACCATTAAATTAGTAACAAGAAGGCACAGAAGCTGTTCAGTTTTGTCCAGTGAGAATGTATCAAGGGTGTTTTCTTGTAGCATTCTTCCGTCATACCATAGAGTTCATAGCAAAGTGGTCATGCTGGGTCTGTAGATCTGCTGCATGCTGGTAGCTCATGCCAATGTCTGTGTGCGTCTGCAGGAAGAGCTCTTTATTGTGTCCGATCCATTCAAACATCTACAGAGAGAGAAATTAAGAGAAAAATGCTGCATTCACAGACAGTTTGGTCTCAAAAAACCCTTCCAAAAGTAGGGTACATACATATTTACAAAGGCCCAGGCAAATTTGCTTAACAGTCATTCTAGGGCTTTGGGTGATTTAACTCCCTGTTAGTGTTCTAGTGATCTACTCATGAACCTTAATATACACAGATTTTCTCTTTGGCTGATGTACAAGCAATAGCCCTTAGTGTTCTGGCTCTGGTGGAGCACAGATGGGCTCAGTCAGCAGGACCGGGAAGTGTGAGAGTGCCTCACCGTTTGGGCTTAAACGGAACACAAGGCCTCCCGCAGACATCAGGCCACAGAAGGGAGTACAGTGAACATACTATTATCATTTTAAATTGTGTTGAGTGGTGTTTACTTGTGCAATATATACAGTATATATACACTGAACTCAAAGATCTAAGACTTTTTCTATGTACACAAAAGACCTATTTCTCTCAAATATTGTTCACAAATCTGTTTAAATCTGTGTTAGTGAGCACTTCTCCTTTGCCGAGATAATCCATCCACCTCACAGGTGTGGCATATCAAGATGCTGATTAGACAGCATGATTATTGCACAGGTGTGCCTTAGGCTGGCCACAATAAAAGGCCACTCTAAAATGTGCAGTTTTACTGTATTGGGGGGTCCGAAAACCGGTCAGAATCTGGTGTGACCACTATTTGCCTCACGCAGTGCAACACATCTCCTTCGCATAGAGTTGATCAGGTTGTTGATTGTGGCCTGTGGAATGTTGGTCCACTCCTCTTCAATGCTGCAACGTGAGGTGATGGTCGTGGATGAATGGCACAACAATGGGCCTCAGGATCTCGTCACGGTATCTCTGTGCATTCAAAATGCCATCAATAAAATGCACCTGTGTTCGTTGTCCATAACATAGTAGAGAAATGAACATTCAATTCACGGGCAACAGCTCTGGTGGACATTCCTGCAGTCAGCATGCCAATTGCACGCTCCCTCAAAACTTGCGACATCTGTGGTCATCTGTGGACATCTTGCGACATGTCCTGTGTGATAAAACTGCACATTTTAGAGTGGCCTTTTATTGTGACCAGCCTAAGGCACACCTGTGCAATAATCATGCTGTCTAATCAGCATCTTGTTATGCCACACCTGTGAGGTGGATGGATTATCTCGGCAAAGGAGAAGTGCTCACTAACACAGATTTAGACAGATTTGTGAACAATATTTGAGAAAAATAGACCTTTTGTGTACATAGAAAAAGTCTTAGATCTTTGAGTTCAGCTCATGAAAAATAGGGGCAAAAACAAAAGTGTTGCGTTTATAATTTTGTTCAGTGTATATATATATATATATATATACTGTATATATAACACACAAATTGGTACAACATATTTTACTGCCACAATTTAACTAAAAATAGGGAATTCATTAATAAAACGTGGCTATAAAGTCATTAGAATGAATTCTTAATTTATGGCCTTATCTTACATTTTTTCTTTTAAATATTTCTGTCACGTGCAAAGCTCAATATTTATTAAACTGTTGAAAAAAATGAAAAGCTTTAAGGTCTAAAAGCATAGGCATTAAGACTACAATTTATTACAAACATAATAAATATATGTAATTTTTTTTAAATAAATGTCATTACATATTCAATTACATATATAATAACTAATTTTATTATGATGTTAATTTTATTGTTGTTGTTTTATTGTTATTATTATTGTTATTAAATATTTTTTTATAGTACAATAGTATTATTACTACAGTAAAACAATATTGAATAATTTAATTGAATAAAAAAATAATAGTAATGGTTACTATAATTTTTTTTCTATTCTCATTTTATTAATTTTGCTATAAAGTTCATTATTATTGTTATTAAATACATTTAACTATTTATTATTTACAGTATAATAGTATTATTCCTACAGTAAAATATAAAAATATTTTAAAATATATATATTTTTTAATTTTATAAATAATTATACTATTAAATAACAAATATTAAATATGAAATTGTATTATTCTATTATTATTAAATATTATTATATTAAAAATTTATATTTTTATTGTTTAAGTTTATAATTTAATAAAAATAACATTATTTAAATAAATTCATTAATACAAATAATTATAATTATAATAATAATAATTATTATTATTATTATTATAAACACTCTCATTTTGTCCTCTAACCTTTTCTGCATCCTGCTCGTACAGCCGTAACTGAAAACACTGGTCCAGCTGTTGTTTGCGGTTGTGCCAGACCTGTAGCAGGTGCTGCCGCGTAACTTGAAGTTTATCCAATAGGGCGGAAATCTTAGGTACCAAACTCTGGAAGTCAGCCCCACCAGAGAGCCTTCCGTCGCCCCCATCCCTGATCTTCTGAAGGAGTCGCTGTCCTTCATGGTCTAACTCATCCACAGGTGCCTTTGTCATAGTCTTCCTCAGTCGAGCGTGCTCCTCCAGGAGTTTCCGTGCTTCCTCTGCGTTAGTTGCCAGCTCCTGGCGAGAAAGCACCTCTTGCAGCTCCTCCAGCCGGGAAAGGAGGTGCAGAGCGCCTCCAGTGAACTCCTCAAGGGAAACACGGAGCTCTGTCCATTCCACATGATCGTACTCCAGTGTCCCTTCCAGATCTGCCGTCAGCTGAGACGGATCCACCAACTTAGTCAGACCTTCCACTGAAACCATACTGGTCTAAAAGAAGCAAAGAACAACCTCATGTACTACCAAATAGTATATAATACATAAGGAATAATAGTCCATTGGTCCCTTTTGCTAAATGAATCAGGACATTGGCTCAAAGAGGTTTATTTTGTTATAATGACCAACTGCACATTGTAAAATGTATTTACAAATAAATAAATGGAATTTATGGGTGCTGCATGAATGGACCCTATGTCTAAATCTGCTAAATGAATTGCTGTGAACTGTAGCCCAGTGGTAGGATTTTAATGATAAGGAAATGAACAATATATTAGGTTCAGTTTTTTGTCTGTCTATTATCTTTAGGTTCACAGCAAATATTGATGTAATTAATTGTGATACATTTAATAATAAAAACATGAAATAACTATTAAAGGGTCCATGGAGTGATATGGGACATGGAACAAGCAGAGGTATGATAATAGTCAGTAATACAGTTTAGAGGTCATTATAAAAAATATACTTTGCTGCAGAATGCTGACAAAATTATAATCAAGTATTTATAGCTGCATTCTGTACGTTTTGAAACCTGCAATTGTAGTTATTTGCCGAATTTTCCTCTTTATGTGGACTGTGCAATTGTAGTTATTTGCCGAATTTTCCTCTTTATGTGGACTGTGCAATTGTAGTTATTTGCCGAATTTTCCTCTTTATGTGGACTGTGCAATTGTAGTTATTTGCCGAATTTTCCTCTTTATGTGGACTGTGGTCATTATAAAAAATATACTTTGCTGCAGAATGCTGACAAAATTATAATCAAGTATTTATAGCTGCATTCTGTAAGTTTTGAAACCTGCAATTGTAGTTATTTGCCGAATTTTCCTCTTTATGTGGGCTGTGCATTGGCACGGCTCCTCAGCGCAGATGACTCTAATGTTTTGAGGTGTATTTGTGGGCTGTCAGTCAACGCACCGTTTTGGATATTCACTGTACTTCTGAATTACAAATACTACGTCTTGGAAGTATGTCCAAAATAAGAAGTTTCATTGAAAAAATGTCATCTGAACAAGTAAGTAACATATCTGCCAGTTTTGTTCTGACCAACTGAAAAAAAAAAGTTTAACAATAAATAGCGCTACCAATAGTGATTAAATCTAACGATTGCAAATTTAGCTCAGATCATGTCAAACCATGCAAATTATTATTATTGTTATACTTTGTTCTCAAATTGTTAATGTTAAAAACATCAACATTGCGTGACTATTAGGGCTGTCGCGATTCGTCGATTTAATTAGACTATTCGATTTTAAAAAATCCTCGATTTCATTTTGCTCGCATCGACTAACCGGCAAAATACCGGAAGTGGCGCATTTCACGGACGAGAATCCATAAAACACATTATTAGACTCTTTCCCAAGGCTGCATGATATATTAAACCCATTTAAAAATCATAATTAAGCATAATTGTGAATTTACAAACGTTACGATTTAATTGAATAATTATATGCGATGCAGTTCTAATACAGTATATGCGCTTTAATTATTTACATGCGGGTAGGTTAAGTACGTGCGTCACATAGCGGCTCCGTTCACAGTAGTTCTACAGGAACTGTTATCATTTACATGTGTGGAGCATCTCAAACGCCATCTCTGCATGTTGTTGTGAGTTTGGGTTTATTATAACGTTCATCTGGGAATGCAACGCATGCCATTTCATCAGATTTGTAAGGTAAATCATTTATAAATCTACGCAAACACAGGAGAATACATCGCGGTTTTAAAATAAAAGCTCAAACCCTCACTCTGAGTTTACACGTTTTGATGTCCACATATTCTTTTAATTACAGTGGCTATAGCATTTCTGTCCTAAAGAAATGGCCAAATATTAAAGATTAAGTGGACATTTGAATGAAATGGTGCTTGGTCAATATTAAACAAGTATTAAATCGCACAGCAATGTGTAAAAATAATCATCAGGCCGTTGGCGCCCTCTGCAGGCCTTTGTTGTAATGCGTAATGTACATTAGCTCTATTGTTTATAATACATTGTGTTATTTAACAGTTTTGTTCAATAAAACCATATGATTTCTTGCTTTTGATACTTTATTTGAACTAATTATTATTGCCTCATTGCTATTATATATGTATTTTAAGTAATATTAAAGGCTATTTTTCACTTACATCTATTTTTATTACCACAAAAAATTTATTATAATTATAGGGCCCTATGAAATCCGTTTCCTCCTTTAAAAAGTGTTTTTTGATTAAAATTTTATTATTAGTAGACTAGAACACGTGGATATGTTACTATAATACTGAACTTTGATTTCAGTGATTTGGACTATGAGATGGACACTTGCTTCTTGCACTCTATATTGCACTTTACTTTTGCTTTAAAAAAAGGATTTCATAGAAATTTGGATTTCATTTGGTTTAATAAAATATAGTTTCATAAAATATTCTTAAGTAAAATTGTTGATTTTTTGTGGGAAATTAATCGTTTAGATTAATCGATAAATTAGTCGATAGATTAATCGAAATAAAAATAGTCGTTAGTGGCAGCCCTAGTGACTGTGTATTTAGTGTGTATTATTGTTATCTGTAGATTTCAATTTCTGTACAGTCTAATCTCTAATTGTCATACCTTTCGAATGTAATTGAAATAAATTGTTCTTTTAACCTCAAAAAGCAATGGAATGTTCCTTAGAACTCGTTCTAAAATGACAAGTTTCATTATTCCAGCTGCTGTAAGAAGAGGCCACAAATGATCCTCCACCTGCAGCATCCACACACGCGATATAGTCTAAAGGGCGGGACTGCTTCTTTATGTATACAAGGGACGTAATGACGCAAAGACGAACGGCGGCAAACTCGGAAACCGACCCAAACCACTCAAATGAGAAAACATTATTACAAGCTTACCTTTTTGATTCGGGCTAAGGTAAAGATATAGATTTGAACACTGATTGGTTATATACTTGGTCAATAATTGATTTAGGATAATTTTTTACAAAAAAAAAAGTATATTTAATATAATAAGGAATATAACAAATATCTATACACTACTGATCACATTTTTGGCATCAGTAAAAAAAAATTGTATGAAATTAATGCTTTTATTCAGCAAGGATACATTAAATTGATCAAGCAAAGAACTTTCTATTCATCAAATAATTTTGAATATATATAAATATTAAACAGCTTAAAAAACAATAAGCATTTTCAACATTTATATTAATAGGAAATGTTACTTGAGCACTAAATCAGCATATTAAAATGATTTCTGAAGGATCATGTGACACTGAAGACTGTAATGGATGGTGAAAATTCAGCTTTGCATCACAGGAATAAATTATATTTTTAAAATATATTCAAATAAAAAATTGATTGTAATGATATTTCTCAATATTTCGTTTTTTTAACGCATTTATATATGCAGCCTATATATGCAGCTGTTCATAACTTGAACAGTTATGAACAAAATATTTTGGCAAGAACAGACACACTGAACTGTACTGGCAAATCATTTCATTTTTGTCAGTTTTCGGATCTTAACCTTTTTTTATAAAATCAATATGAAAGTATAAAAATTAAAAATGGACTTTTCTATGGCTTTCTTATAAGACAAAATTCAATTCTTATACCTCAAAGGTGAACTTGGCACTGCCAAAATTGGTCTTCTGCTTCTGCCAGAAGTTGTCTGGTTTGATAATGAGAGCGACGCAGATCTCAGCTGGAAATGACTCCTGTAGCGTCTTCAGCAATGGCTTGATTAGATCCCACTTAGAGCCGCGCATGTCTACGATCACTGTAAACCCTCGTTTACTTACATCCTCACTGCACAGGATAAAGAGATTGAGAAAGTAAGAGGAAGACCAACATCTGAAAGCCATCCAAGAAAATATTAATAAAAACTTTAATAAGCTTGCATAGTTACACATCAGTGAAGCTATATATTTTTTAGAGGTGCATCACATTGCATCAGAATGCCCTAAAGATCAAATAGATGCTCTAATCAAATGGGTTATATGTATCCATATCTCACCTTTTGTCTCAAATTTGAGCAATTATATAATAATAAAGTGCAGAGGTGCTGTAAGCAATTTTAAAGGTGACCTATTATGCAAAAATCACTTTGAACACAGGTGTTTGAACACAGTTGTGTGGCCGCAGTGTGTGAAAACAACCAGCCTATAATGGTAAAAATCCACCCACTCATTTTTTATAATCCCAATAAATCATAAACAGTCTCTTCAAACGAGCAGTTCCAGATTTCTCCCTACATACACATCATCTTAGGGAAAAGTCCCGCCCATTTGTGACGCTCTCTGCCCTATTAGCATAGACACCGGCCTGAGTGAGAAGCAGCAGTCCGCCATTACTGATTTCTTGCTGTAGCTGCTGGAGATACAATGTCAGCGCCATAGAGGCATTACAAGTGTCGTGTGTTAGGATGCACCAACAAACATAGGAGTCTCCATAGACCGCTGAGGACACGGTGATTAAATTTCATTTTCGAAAGGAAATGGCCCGGAAAAAAAAATACTGAAAAGTCCTATGTTTGTGCTAATCATTTTACACTGGTCTACCTCACAAACGAGGGTCAGTTCAGCACTGGAGTTGTGCAAAGGTTGCTTCTAAAAGAGGGATCAATACCACCGCTTCGAAAGCGAACGTCCGTTCCAGACAAAGTAAGTATCACGCACCATATTTTGTTTTCCAAATTACCTTTCTGAAAGACTCTGCAAGGCTAATGTTGCTAAAGCTACCATTGTTTCTGCCTGTTTTCAATGATGCTGCCTTCACGTGCTACCAGAATATCGTAAATAGGAATGTGGTATAAAAATTGCATATGAAAGCAATGTGAAGTTGACCGAGTCTAAATTTGTCGAGCATGAGATCTTGAAGCTCCGCCCTCTTCTGAAAAGGGAGGCGGGAGCACCAGCTCATTTGCATTTAAAGGGTGTAAGGTCCACGCAATTGGCCCAATGAAGGTATCCAACGGTGGCCGAAGGTTTCCTGCGAGTTCTGTCTTTTCGGTGTGCAAAGTTATTGAATTTCAATTAAACTCTAATCTCACTCCATTTTATGACCTTGAATTTAGGTTAGAATGCCAATATATAACCTGGGCACAGTAGAGAGGTAGGTCACCAGTTTCCGCAAGTCTTCTTGCTTTATTCTGTCATGATTACTTCGTGCAGGGAATGTAAGTATAGGTCCTCCTCTCTTGTCTCTTCCTCCTGAAAAGAAAAGGACCGTTTTATTACTAATTTTACAAACTCAAAGCACTTAAATGGCCCTAATTACGGTAATACCCATGAGCCTGTGTGCTGTGTGGGTGCATGCTTAAGAGAGTGCTGAGATAAAGCTGTTCCACAGTGAAGGAATGAATGTGTATGTGTGTGTGTGTGTGTTTACAATGCAATTATACATTTCCCACCTGAGACAAAGGCAACCTTCTCTCTTAAAACTGTTAGAACATCAGCCGCCTTTATTCCATCATTCCTAAGAGATCCTGATGAAAAAGATGGAACTGAGAGTAGAGGAAAAAAGAGAAAGAGAAAGAGAAAAGAAAGGGATATCAAAGTTATATACAGACTCAGGGCTGTAACCACCATAGACAAAGAAGGAAACATGCCTGCTCCAATTTTCAGAAGACTGATCGAGAACTGAGAAGTGTTTTTCAAATAATTCTCAAAGGAAAAGTTCATAATTTACTCAACCTCATGTTCTTTCAACTAAACCCATATGATTTTATTTATTCTGTTTATTGCAACAAGAGATGCTAAAGATCATGTTCTTGCTGCTCTTTTCAATACAATAAAAGTGAATGGTGAAGAGGACTGTTAAGCTCTAAAAATGTAAAAATAGCAACCATAAAGGTGGTCCATACAACTCTGCACTGTATTCCAAAACATTTGAAGCCACAAAAAAACAATTGAAAATATTCCCCTCCATCACAGTTCTTATATTTCATTTCAGCAATTTTGATATGCACATATTTAAATGTGACATTCATGATACAGCTGAGACAAGAACCAAAAATGTTTGACATCATTCTGGATGTTAACAATGATGTGCCGTATTTGAAGTTATACCGATGTGAGCATTGGCTTTTTCCTCACAATAAGCTACTATAGAAATTCAAATACTTCAAATTGTGTGATTACAACTAATACTACAGCATTTGTATGGTTCTTTTAGTTCTTTTTTTAGCTTGACACCTGGTCACCATTCACTTTTATTGTATGGTAAAGAGCAGCATGAACATTCTGCTAAATTTCTCTATTTGTGCTCTACGAAAAGAAAACATTCAGCTTTGAAATTACATGAAGGTGAGTAAATGATCTCAGAACTTTAATTTTTGTAAAAGTTATTACATCAGGTCTCCACAAATACAAAAAAGTGGTCTCTTTCTTTTAAGGCAGGTGCAAATAGAGTTGATGCTATTTACACTAAGTGAATACATTATAAAACAGTATACAATAATAACAAAATATTCAGTGTATGTTTATTAAAATCATTAAGGTGCCCCAATTATGACATTTCGAATAATACATTAAGTTATTGCCTCCCAAAAGAAAGAATCGACTCTGAACAGCCTAAACGAGTCGTCAGTCATTTGAATCCCACTTCCGTGCCGGCTACACATCACCGGGTAACACATTTGCATAATGCGCACCTATGTTCTACATTGGCCGGCTGTGAACAACTTGACCCCGCCCTAAAACACTCTAGCTTATTCATGTGGTTAACATTATGTCAAGAAGACGCTGTGTCCTACACTGTGAAAGTAAATTCATTTTATTTTCACTTCCGAAAGATGAGGCTGCAAAGAATCAGTGGTTAAAATTCACAGCAGTACAAACCCAATATTTTTTTGTTTTCCCGTCATTTTACTGACGACTGCTTCTCTAATCTCAAGGAGTTCAACGCAGGATTCACAAAACACTTGCTGTTGAAAGATGGCTCAGAACCCAGTTTATTTGGACCAGCTAGCTCTACTGAATCACAACCTGTAAGAATGATAAATAATAGATGTTTATTTTTTTTTATTGAGCATTTAAAATAAGGAACTATGGCAATTGGCATATCGTTTCTGACACACGCTGTACGCAGTAGACCAATAACAACAGACTGGGCCATCTGACCAATTAGAGCAGAGTAGGCTCACAAAAAGGAGGGGGTTTAGAGAGACTAAATCTTTGAACTGCTTCGAACGAATCGTTGGAAAATGAGATGATAATACATTTATATTTTGAGAAAACAAAAGTGTTTTTTGACCTTGCATGCATGTCCATCTATTGTAGGAGACTCCCAAAACAATATTAGGAACCCTAAAATGCCATAATAGGGCAACTTTAATGGATGAAGCCTTATTGGGACCTTACTTGTCCCTATTCCTTAAGACTAAGATAAACTCACGGCAAAGTTCTTTTTGTGATTTGTTTTTAGGAGTAAAAAGATGTTGAAAGGTATACTGTTAGCAAGCATCCTGACGCCACACACACTGCTAGAAGCGCATTTATATGAACATACATGCTGCACACTTTCCTCTCAATAACAAAATAAACACACAGCAAAAATGGAGAAGATTTCCATGTCAGAGAATGTAGAGCCCAACAGCACACCTACTTATAACATAGTCACCACAGACCAATGGTAGTTTGAAGGTGTTTACAAGCCAGAGTTCAGCACGATATCCAAACCCCTAACCGTACTAAACCTGCTGCAAACGTAAGGAAAGGAGTCACGTTTCGAGCATGGTAATTATATGAGCTGCAAGCATCATGGTTACACAAGGACACATCCTATTTCAATTATGGGCCTAATAAATATCTATTAACTACTTCACTTTTATAAAAAATATTTTAAAAAGTCTCTCCAAGCTGATATGTGATGGGAAAAAGGTGAAGAATAGGATTAGAAAAAGGCAGATTCGGACTTGGGTCGGTCTCGTCAAAAGCTAAATCCTAATCTTTACTCCCTACACCACAGTTCTTGTTAGCAGACTTGTTTCTTTTGTAATCATGTGTGGCTCAACCAGATAGTGGTTGACAGAATTGGTGTAAATAGCCTTTGCCAACAAGGTGGGTTAATTAGTGTAGACACTCTGTTCTTTTATAGATAATATATGACAATTTTGGTTTAAACATTGCATGTACTACAGCATCTTTGAATTCAAATGTGTGCAAATATAAATACATTGAAACAACAGTTCTGTTCTTGGTAAATATATATATATATATATATATATATACACAGGATTTTGTGTGGGTGTGCTACCAGCATTGCTGCTTTCTACGTTTTGTATAAGAATCACGGGGGACACATGCATTCTGTAAACATTGAATGACAGACAACAGTATTAAGCATAATACTGGCTTCATGGAAAATAGAGTAGTAAGCCACAGTAGGTCGAGCGGGGGGCAGGGAGGCCCAGCGGTTGGCACATCTCCTTCTATTTAGATTCATTAGTGGTGTAATCTGCCCGCTCTGTAATCCCATAGCCGACAGCTGGGCACCGGGACAGCCGGTGGGGAAAAGTTCAATCACACTTAAAAACACAGACAGCAGAAACACATACAGTATATACACACAAGCTGCATGCTCACAGATGCGCCACATGCACTTGCATACACACACACACACACACACAGACACACACAACTGTGCAGTACATCTGTTCAGTCTGTATGAGGTCTAAAAAGGCCTTTACACCGCTTATGTCTGCATTTTATCTCTCTTGCTTGCTCTCGTCTGCAGACTACATAAACTATTAAACCTGAGTGGAAGAGTTTGATGCTGAACATGGCATGTTAAATTTACTGTGAGGACTTCCTTTCCCCAGCCCCTGCTAGAGGGAAGATGCTATTTCACACACACACACACACACACACACACACACACACATATATAAGGACAGGGCTGTTTAAACACTATTGAACACAGTCATTTCCAATTTACAACTTTCTGATCTGGCCTATTGTGTGGTGACAACATTGTCCCAGGTTCGGTGAAGCGTGGGCTAAGTAAGTTCTCCAAAGCTCTCAAAAAAATATGTATTTACACAACAGTTCAAAGGTTTGGGGCTGGTAACATTTTTAAATGTTTTTAACATGGGGATGCATTTATTTGATTATATATATAATATTATATTAATAACTGTTTTCTTTTTTAATATATATATATTAAAGTGTAATATTAAGTGTAATGATGCTATAATGCTTCAGAAATTATTATAATATGCTGATTTGGTTTTCAAGAAACATTTCTTATTATCAGTGTTGAAAACAGCTGTGCTGTTTAATATTTTTATGGAAAATGAGATCAATTTTTTCAGGATTCTTTAATGAATAGAAAATTGATAAGAACAGCATTTATTTGAAACAGAAAATATTTTGTAACATCATTACTGTCACTTTTGATTTGATTTATTCAGCATCCTGATGAATAAAAGTACTTCCTTCTTTCGAAAAAAAAAAATCGTACTGACTTTTTGAACAGTAGTGTATTTCATTATAAACATAAATGTGTGGGTTTAAATGTAGGGTAGGCGATTTCAGAGAGGCTAGCAATAGCAAGCTAGCTTTGAAAGCATAAGATCCCACTCTCCCTGCAAATCAATCTCCAAAGCCATGCCTCCTCCAAAACAATTGAACATTCACAGGTAGACCAGAGGCTAACCAGCGACATGATGAGAGACGGCGTTGGTGGAGGGTTGAATGCAACGCTGTCAGATTACCTCGTGTCTCATTCACTGTTGAGAAAACATTACAGTACAAAGTGAATAATATTACAATAATAACGCCTTCCATTCTCGCTTGGTCTACATTAGCGTAATGGACCACGCTGCTGACGTATCATGTCTGCGCGAACAGGGTGCACAGAGGTATGCAAATACATGCGTATGTTGAGAGGCATGTAGGACAGATTATCATAGCCCTCGGACCGAGGAATATGATTAAATGAACATTTTATGGTCATACGCCTTCCACAGACGATATAAATACATATAAAGTAATTTAGACCACTTAACTTAGTGAAAGAAAGAAAAAGTGGTCCATGCAACTGATGCTTCAAAAGTCTTCAAAAGCTATATGATAGCTTTGTATGAAGAACATGAAGAATAGTTCATGAGTTCATTGATTTAGTTCACAGATCAGTACATTTGTTTTTTTACAGAAGAAAGAAAGTCATGCAGGTTTGGAATAACATGAAATTGAGAAAACGATAACAGAATTCTAACTAACATAGAATGTCAGAATCAACCAATCCAGATCAGATACTCTTCAGCAAACCAAATTATGTGTCCTATGAATGTTTTGTCACCCTTATTTTTACATTTGTATATTTTCACTCCTAGTGTAAATTATATTTTTAATGCGAAAATATTGATTGTTATCTTATTTAGGTATCTGAAAAGATGTGTTTTACAAGGTCTCGACAAAACATCACAGTATTCATTTGCAGTCCCACATGAGTAACACTTGCTACTTAATTGCTAATTAAAAAAAATATATAGTGTAATGC